AGGAAGGAAGGAAGGAAGGAAGGAAGGAAGGAAGGAAGGAAGGAAGGAAGGAGATGAACAGATTGGAAGAGTATTAAATGCTAGTAAAATGCTGAAATATTTTGGGGGTGTCACCTTCAATGTTAGGAAAAAATTCCTCTACAATATTGGCATTTGGTTCCTCCGGAAATTGGGATCTTTCCTGCCCAAATCTCTTATCTTGCAAAAAAAAAAAGAAAAAAAAATCACCCCAACCTGCAAAGGTTCCCCTGCAATCCTACCCCACTTCCTCCCTTCTAAAATAAAAAAAGGGGAAAAAAAAAATTAAAATGCCCATCCTTCAAAAACGAACGCGTGCAAAGCCGGACAGGTGTGCAAAGCAACCAAAGTTCACTCTCCACCGCGTCAAAGAGAGTTGGAAGGATACCGAACCACCCCAGCAACCCTCTGCCCCTCCCCCCCCCGCCACCACCACGGTTGCATTTGTGGGTCCCTTTATTCCCCCCTCCCCCACCCCATATCCCACCCCACCCACAACGCCGCCCAGGGCCTCCGACGGGCGATATACAGAGGTTCCAAAATGGCTTCGACTCTCCCGGCTTGAAGGGCCTCCCCGAGTTGAGTGCATGTGTGTTGCCCGTGTATGTGCGCTCGTGCTTGCTTGTGTCTGCGTGTGTGTCTGTGCATGCATGCTGCCTCCCAGATGTGGGTAAGGGCACAAAAAGGCGTCGTGAGGCAACCCCGGTGTACCAATTACTGCAAAGGGAGGGCTCCAAGGCGTGGCCCCGGAGGCCTTTCCAGAGTCTGCTGAGAGCATTGCAAGGGAAGGGAGGAGGAAGGAGGAGGAGGAGGAGGAGGAGGGGGGGGGTTTGGAATGGCTTGCTTAGGGATTGCAAAACCACCCGTTTGTGGCGCGTTGCAAGCCCTCCCCCCGTGCCCCCAGCCCAGAGCGAAGTGGCCCCGGGACTCGCTTACCGTCAGGGTGTCATCGATGTAAAGCGGGATCTGCAGCCTCTCGAAGAGGAATTCTTCCTCGCTGTCTCTGCAAACGGCCACCAGCCGCGCCATCTCTGTTGCCGTTTGCTCTGCCTCTTCCTTCCAAAGCCTGAAAAGCAGCCAAACCCAGGGCAAGTAAATATAAGCTTGAGTTCCTCTGCCACACTTTCACCAGCAGGGGGGGGGGGGAGAATCACCCTCCTTAACCGGGACAGATTCGACAAAAGAGGAAAGTGAGAGGAGGAAAGAAAGCAGAGGGGGGGGGGGGGAGGCAACACCTCATCTAGGTGCTCCTTGGATGTTTTTTTTTACCTACGGCTTTTTTTTTATTTTATTTTTATTTTTTTATTTGAGCCAGAAGAGGGGTGGCTTTCAGGACGTTACCCTAGTTTGAGAAGAAGATACGAAGTGACGTTTGCAAGATTTGGGTTTGGCCAGTCTACAGGAAAGAAGGACCGGGGGTGACATGATAGCAGCATTCCAGTATTTGAGGGGCTGCCCCCCAAAGAAGAGGGGGGGTCAAATTATCTCCCAAAGCCCCTGAGGGCAGGACAAGAAGCAATGGATGGAAACTTAATCAGGGAGAGAAAGCAATCTGGAGCTAAGGAGAAACTTCCTAACGGTGAAAACAATTAACCGGTGGAACAGCTCGCCACCAGAAGTTGTGGGTGCTTCGTCATTGCAGGTTTTTAAGAAGAGACTGACAGCCATTGGACTGAAATGGTATAAGGGTCTCCTGCTTGAGCAGGGAGGGGGGCTGGACTAGAAGACCTCCAAGGTCCCTTCCAACTCTGTTATTCCGACCTGTCTCAAGGATGACAAGCAGAGAAGCACCTTACGGCTCCTGGGGTTGTGGGGTGTCTGAACATGTGCTTCTTAAAGCTCTTCCAAGGAGGAAGGAAGGGAGTCCAGAAAATGTAGGTCATACAGACCGGCTGGAACACACCCATGGCTAAGTACAAGCACTTGAGGTTTGACTGCGGGTGTGCGAACTTGCATGGATTGTTTCCCATAGACCCACAACAAAGGTGGGGGAAAAAAAGTCAGCAGCACAGATCAACTTGTGAATAGAGGCAGTCCTTGACCCACGGCCACAACTGAGGCCGACATTTCTGTTGTTAAGCGAGACATTGGTTCGGGGAGTTTTGCCCCATTTTACGAGCCTTTTTTTGCCACAGTGACTTCACCGCAGCTGATAAGTTTAGTAACATGGTTGTTCAGTGAATCTGGCTTCCCCGCTGACGTTTTGCTTGTCGGAAGGTCGCAAAAGGTGATTCCCACGACCTTGAGACACAGCAAAGGTCGTAAAACTGAACCAGCTGCCAAGCATCTGAATTTTGATCATGGGGATGCTGCAAAAGTCGTCACCATGGGGAAAAGACAGTCACACAAGTCACTTTTTTCCAGTGCCATTGTCACTTGAAACAGTCACTAAATGGACTCCTGTTAAGTCGAGGACTACCTGTACATTATGCCCAGATTTCAGGATGATTCATTAATCCAGACCCGAATGAGTCCACCCTCAGCCTGGCCGCACTGAAAAGCAAACTAATTCGCAATGTTGAGGACAATAACACACAAAACAACAGATACCAACTCAAAAATAAACTGCTCCAAATCCGGTTACAGAAAATACGACTTCAGCAATAGAGTGGTCAGTGCCTGGAACTCACTCCCTGACTCTGTTGTCACAGCCTCAAACCGCCAAAACTTTAACCTTAAATTGTCTACCGTGGACTTCACTCCATTCCTAAGAGGGGGCTGTCAACGTTCCAGAAAACCTCCATTCCAACAAATAATTCCGAGACACAAATCCTCTCAAAAGTTTTTTATTTTAGTAAACTGGCACATCTGGGAAATCCCGAATCTGAAAGTTCCGGGTTTCCTTGCAATAAGTAAAAAACTACAAATCCACCCCCTACACCTCTCATGGCATCACATGCCCCAATCACTATCCGTCCCAATTTGAGACGTCCCCTCACCCAGGTGCAGAAACCACATGACCTTGACTTAGAAGAAAAATGCTATTATGTCTAACCGCATACACTCCAAGAAATTCCCCCCTCCCATTTTCCCAGGCTCAAGAATGTGGCCGTGTGGAAGCGCCTGGTGCTAATATGGCTTCCAAAGTGGACAGGGGCATGCGTAAGTGCACCAGCATGCCTACCGTCCCTATCCTACTCTTCCCATTTATTCGTACTCAATTATGATGTATATACTTATACCCGTTTATGTTTATATGTTTATAAGTTATGTTCAGACTTATACGTGTTTTGTCACACTGGCTTGACAAACTGAACTAAACTAAATAAATAAAATAAAAAATAAATAGTGTTGCACCTCAATCTGGCTGCTCAGAACTAAGATTAGCGAAAGACAGAGGTACCAGCATTCTGTCAATGTTTCCTCACACGTGAGGCCCTCTGAATCATAGTAGCAACAGAAACACAATTAAAAAAAAATACTTGGCAGTTAAAAACATAGGTGAGTTGGACACCGTGGGGTTGCTGTTAAAACACAACAAAACTGGGGCTTTTCCACTGAACAACATACATAACCAAGCCAATTAACTATGCTTCTGTACCAGGGGTCTTCAAACTTGGCAAGTTTTAAGACTTGAGGACTTCAACTCCCAGAAGTCCTGAGCTAACATGGCCGGAGGAGGAATTATGGGAGTTGAAGTCCACAAGACTTAAAGCTGTCAAGTTTGAAGACCCCTGGCCTATGCTTTGAGGGATTTTTGGCGCTCTCTGAGTTTGGTTGCTTCCTTGCAGATGTTTCATGACCCAAACCAGGTAACACTGTCAGTGCTAGTCGATGATGACTACTTGATTATCACTGATCATGTTACCTAGCTGGGTCATGAAATGTCTGCAAGAAAACAACCAAGCTCAGAGAGCACCAAGGAACCCTCATGTCAACCCTGAGCTACAAATACTCTCCTTTAGCAACCTAAGCTTTCTTAGTGTTCAGTTTAAACTTATTATATATTGCAGGAACCCAGCTTATAGGTTGGGACAGGGTACACATTCAGAAAATCCAGTTTCTAAAATATATCGTTGCCCCCACCCGTCCAGCATACACATATAAGCCGAGATATCTTTGTGAGAGGAGGGGCACCTAAATTTTAAGCCTGCCTTAAATCTCCACTTCATTATTCTTAGCAAAGGTCTCCCCTCTGGGCTTCACTTCAAAGAATAATAAAGGACTGAAGACTTTAAACCAGCATTGATAACACTCTAAATAACATACGTGCTCATATCTTCTTTACACATTCACAAATTACAGTTCTCTTTACCAGAGTCATTCAGTTTTAAGTTCCCTCCAATTTTCCCTTTTCCCATTTCGACCTATCTGAAAGAAAGAAATTTATTTCACCACATATGTAATAGATGAAATAATGCAGCCTTGCAAAAAATAATAATAGTCCAGTAACACAATTTTAACAGAATGCTAGAGTTGGAAGGGACCTTGGAGGTCTTCTAGTCCAACCCATTGCTCAAGCAGGAGACCATATACAATTTCAGACAAATGGCTGTCCAGTCTCTTCTTAAAAACTTCCAGTGTTGGAGCAGCCGTAACTTCTGGAGGGAAGCCATTCTACTGATAAATTGTTCTGTCAGGAAATTTCTCCTTAGTTCGAGGTTGCTTCTCTCTTTGAATTGCAACCTGGAACGAAGGATAATTTTTTAAAAGTGCTGACCTTCCTCATTTATCAGCCAGAAGACTCAAATCCAGGAAGTCCTCGTTGGCACTTACACAACGTCTGGCCAACAACTTTTAAATTGGTTCCCAATGGAAAGTCAAATGGGTCACTGAACATCCAGTTATAGGAAGACGTATAAATGACTCCATACAAATGTGCCTCCCACGACGACAGTGGACAATCCTGAACATGATTTCCACCTCGCATAGTGCCTGCCGAGACTCTGTGTATACATGGGGCATAGTATCCCCCCCTAGGTGTGATTGCGAGATCCCACATCCAACTGTAGATCACATCATGACCGGCTGTAAGCTGAGGGCATGTACCGGTCCAGTATCTGATTTTTTTAAAAAAAATATAAACGAGGTTGGGCTTCAATAGTTAAGATGGCCTAAACCAGGGTATCAAACTCAAGGCCCAGGGGCTGGATCTGGCTGGCCTGTGGTGTGCTTAGATCTAGCCCGCAGGGCCACCCTGGAAACAGTGAAGGACCAGCCTGAGGTGCCTCTGCCAGCAAAAATGAAGCTTGCTCCTGAGCTCCGTTTTCGCTGGCAGAGGGTAGCAGGAGGCCGTCGCAGCCAAAAACGGAACTTGGGAGCCCATTTTTGCTGGCAGGGCACTCAGGGCAACTGACACGAGTAATATCGAGCTGACCATGCCTACCCCAGACTCCCGAGGTCAAACACAACCCTGATGCGTTCCTCAATGAAATCGAGTTTAACATTGCAATTTGAACATAGCTCTTTTATATTTTATTATTAATTATATTGTGCATATTATTATATTATTTTAACATTTATATTTTATTGTGTTTTACTAATCTAGATGAAATGCTAATATATCTCGCTAGCCCACGTATATGCCATAATGCTAAATAAATAAGTATTCAAAGGTATAAGCTTTTGTGAGCTGCTGCTCAAATGTGTACCCAATAAAGCAAGATGCTGCACACGAAGGCTTAATTTATTAATATTTCTACAGCCACTTGCCTCACAATCGAGTAAATATGCCTTTGAATAAAATGGGTCAGTCAGGACAGGTGCTACGAGGCTCCTTGCTGAATCTCTGCTCCCATAGACTATTCTGAAATGTCTATTCACAACCATCCCCATAAATCCTTATCTACACTCAGGGCCTACCACATATTTATGATGCCTGTGCAAGTATTTTGGGCACTTAGAGGTATAATATCAGGAGAGCCTAGTGGTCTAGTGGTTAAGGCAACTGGGCGAGAAACTGGAAAGCCGAGTTCTAGTCCTGCCTTAGGCGGAAAACCAGCTGGTTTACCTCAGGCCAGTCCCTCTCTCAGTTCTATGAAGGAGGCAGCGGCAAACCACTTGTGAGAAACCTTGCCAAGAAAACTGCAGACTTGCCCAGGCAATCGCCAGGAGACAACACAGATTCAAAGACACACAATAAAAAAACAACTACACCATATAATATGCAAGTCAGTCCTTGTCTTACAACAGTTCATTTAGTGACCATTCAAACTGACAACGGCACTGGAGGGGTGGGGAGTGACTTATGAACATTTTTCACACTTGCAAGTATCCCCATGGTCAAGTGATTTATATTCAGATGCCAGACAACTGGTTCATATTTATGACGTGTACCAGGGTCATCGGATTCTCTTTTGGTGACCTTCGGACAAGCAAAGTCAATGGGGAAGCCAGATTCAACTTAACAACCAGGTTACTAACTTAACAACTGCAATGATTTACTCTAACAAATGTGGCAAGAAAAGTCACAAAACTTAACAAATTTTTCACTTAACAACAGAAATGTTGGGCTCGATTGTGGCCATCAGCCGAGGACTACCTGTATCACAATTTGTGCCAGGGTTGAATTTAACCTTATTGAAAATCACGTCATTTGGGTTCACACCACAGGCTAAGCCAAAGTAACTTCCCACCACAACCCCAAATTTACCGTTTACAAACATAGAACACAGAATCGTAGGGTTGGAAGGAATATTGGAGGTCTTCTAGTCCAACCCCCTGCTCAAAGCATCCTGGGTCAAATGGTGGTGCAGTCTATTTTTGAAACCTTCCGGTGATGGGGCACCTGCCAACTAATTGCAAGCAAGGTGACGGAGAGGAAGGGAACTTTTTCTAGGGATATTTTTCTTTTTTTTGCTGCGCAGAGATAAAAGTAGGACACCAAATAAAGACACCAAACTCCACGCTGCTGAGCCAAAGGCTCTGAATTACAGCAGGACTCAAAAGGCCAAGCCTGGTAACAGCTTGAAAAACCAACTCTAGGAGAAACATGTTTGGTTTTCTAGAACTAAGCAACCTGGAATTGCAAGGCAGGCCAACTTGCAATGCATTTTAGCAACCCAAATCCAGGGCTTTACCAGCAATTATGATGTTTAAGCACAACCTGCACACCTACACACTTACCCAATTTGCCCAAGGGGGCAAAAAGAATAAAGCAAAGCAGCTTGTTTCAAAGCAGAAGAAAAAGTCCTGGTAATTAGCAGCCTGCCTACTTCTTTTCCCAAAAGTTTAGTTTAGTTTACTTTATTGTCATTGCACCTTGTACAACAAAATTAAATACCATCTTCAGTGTACAATTTGACTCTGAAAATAAACACAAACACACATCCCTCACACTCCACACATTGAATTAAAAACCCCTGATATTGCATTAATATTGCACTATATGGTAGAATTCAATAGAGTTACTGCCCTGGGATAGAAAGAGGGTGGTTTGGTTTTTTTTTCTTTTTTCCCCTTAATCGGGGGCTAAATTCACTCTTACTACCTCTCCTTTTGACTTTCCCATGTTCTTTGCATCCCTTCCCCACCTTTGGCATTTCAGATTTTGCAAGGGGGCATTTTTCCCAGGGAGTCTTCAAATAATGGGGAGAGGGGGGAAATGGCTTATTTAAGGGGAAAATGGCTTAAGGAGAAAATGGCTTTTTAAAGGAGAAAATGGCTTTTTAAAGGAGCAAATGGCATTTTTAAGGGGAAAATGGCTTTTTTAAAAAGGGGAAATAGCTTTTTTAAGGGGAAAATGGCTTCCCCCCTCCTTCTCCAGGCAGGAGGGGGATTTCTTTATGCATTTCGAAAGGAAGCAGTTTAGGAGCAGGAATGCCCCCCCTCCCCAGGACAGAAATACATGGAAGGAAAAATATAAATTAATAAGGCAACGAGTAGGTCAAAGCATAACCTTCGCTCTTCCTCTTCTTCTCTCTCCTCCTTCCCCCCCCCGCCACCACTTACTGCTCCGATAGGCTCCACCTTCTATTTAAATTTACCTTCCTTTTCCCCCCAGCCCGCCTCTCCTATTGGCTGAAGCGGCTGAAGCAGCAGGAGAAGAAACTACCACACCTCGAAACGCCGAAACGGGCGATTATTATTATTTTTTTGGCCTCTCTCTCTTCCCTTCCCCTCCCTCCCCTTTCAGGAGGGCAGCATGGAGCCTCCTCGTCCGGCTTTGGCTCCGCCCCCGCCCCTCCTCCTGCTGCCCCCCCTCCTCTCGCGAGAGACGGAGAAGGCAACCCTCCCGCCTTACCCCACCCACCGCCCCGACCAACCGCTCACCAGGCTCCGCCTCCTGGCCTCCCAAACCCCGCCCTCTTTCGACCCCCTCCTCCTCTCGGCGACTAACTGCTCTTTCAGGGCGTGCCTCGGCTCAAGCTCTCTCCTCTGCCACAAGCTCCACCCCTTCTCTCTCTATATATGTAAATGACCCTTGCGTGGCCCGCCCCTTCCTCGGCCTTCCCCTTCGCTTTTTTCCGCCGCGGGCTCAAATCGAAGAAAGGAGGGTGGGGAAGAGCGTTTCCTTTATATAGGTAAAAGCCGGTAAGAGGCTCCGGCTTGCGGCCTTCTGCGCATGCCCAACGCTGACGTGAAGTGGAATCTACAAGCTTATTCCCCCGCCTTCTTGGGAACTGTCACAAATGGCCCGTTGCCGCCGGTGCGGCGAATAGGGCGCTGAGGTTTTACGCATGCCCAGTAAGCCGTTTCTTCCGCCTCGAGAGAAAGTTCGAGCGGGAAAAAGTGGCGATGAGGCGATGTCTATTTCGCGCTCGCCCTGAGGCGAGAGTGAATTCGTATATAGATCCGAGACGGGGCTGACTTGGGGATTAAAAAACTGGGGCAAAATTGCCCCTTTGGCAGTGTTCCTGAAGAATTTCCCCCCTCATCCATTTTAAATAGCTGCTGGTCCTTAAACTTCGTTGGCCTCTTTAAACCGTTTTGGTTTCTCATACAAAAAAATTATCAGGCGACCTTTCCTTCTGAAATATACAGGTAGTCCTCCAGTTTATTACCACAATTGAGCCCGAAATATTTGTTGCTAAGTGAAACATTTGTTACATGAATTTTGCCCCCATTGTACAGCCTTCCTTGCCATAGTTAAAGTGAATCACTGCAGTTATTAAGCAAAATGGTTCTTAAATGAATCTCCCCCATTCTTTGCTTGTAAAAAAAAAGTGATCACATGATACCAGAACGCTGCAACAGTCATAAAAATGAGTCAGTTGCCATTTGAATTTTGTTCATGTGACCATGGGGATGCTGCAGTGGTTGTGTGAAAAATGGTCAAGACCCTTTTTCAGTGCTGTTATAATTTTCAAAAGTCACTCAATGAACTGTTGTAAATCAAGGACTACTTGCACCTTAACATTTGAAAGATGTGTATATCCATATCCATATTTTAAAGACTACCCTTGTTCTCCCCAAAACATGCCTTATCAATATTGAAAACAAGGTATAATATATACCTTATTTCCCCTAAAATATACCTTATCAATATTTAAGGTATAATGTGTACCTGCTTTTCCCCCAAATTTTATCTCAGTATTTAAAAGGTACATAATCTGCTTCTTCCCAATATACTTTATCAATATTTAAAAGTATAATGTATGCCTGCTTTCCCCCCAAAATATGCCTTATCAATATTTAAAGGGATAATATATAACATGCTCCCCCCCCACAAAAGAATATATCTTATAAATACTTTTAAAGGAGGTGCAACATATACCTGTGTTGCCCCCCAAATAAATCTTATCAATATTTAAAGAAGCTTGGAGATGCACAATGCCAAATCTGGGACCTTTTCTCGCAATCAACTGAGAAATGGCACAGCAATATAAATATATATATATTTATAAAAAATTATAAAAAATATATAATATATATATATCTGTTCCATACAGGTGTCCAGCAGAAGATAAACCTGAATCTGAAATCAAAAATGGAACGCTTCTATAATTCAAGGTCATACTGACAGCAAATTGGATACCAGCACTCAGGTAAAACTGAAGGAATTAATCATTTACGTCTATTCGGAAAGAAAGGTCATCTTATGATCTTTATCCATGGTTACAGGTAGTCCTCGACTTAAAGACTACAATTCAGCCTAAAATTTCCATTGTTAAGAAGAGGATTGTTAAGTGAGTTTTGCTTCATTTTACAACTTTTCTTGCCATAGTTAAGTGACTCACTACAGTTGTTAAGTTAGTAATACAACTGTTAAGTGAATCTGGCTTCCACACTGACTGCTTGTCAGAAGGGTACAAAATGATTACATGACCCCTGGACACTGCAATTGTCATGCGTCAGGTGCCAAGTATCTGAACTTCGAACACATGACAACTACAGGGATGTTACAAGTCCTTAAGTGTGAAAAAAAGGGCAGTCACTTATTTTAGTGTTGTAACTGTTTACTAAACAAACAGTTACAAGTTGAGGACCACCAGTATATTATTGCATTCATAATATAGATCAACTAAACAAACAGTTACAAGTTGAGGACCACCAGTATATTATTGCATTCATAATATAGATCAACCTGGCATTAAGCAGTTACAGGGTTGAGGTTCTAACAAAGCTTGGCTTGTACCTGGACTGCTAGTTAGTACCTAGCTTCTAGCCTGCCAAATATTTTGCCATTCCATTTGTCACTCTAGGGGTTGTAACGACTCCCTTGCTGGGCTCCTTCATCTAGCGTTTTAGCATCATAAATAAATTGGAAGTGGCATATCACAACGTAAAGCATCATTTTATTTAGAAAAGAAAAATAGCCAAGGGCTGCAGACCAAAAGTATTTGAAAATTATTTCACCTGTCTCACAAGTGTCGGCATTTGGAAGTGATGGGGAGAATTGCAAAAAATAAATGGTGAAAGCAGTCTTAGTGTTGCCATGGTTCCTTTGAATGTGGCATTGTAACATTGCATGCATGTATGAAAGAAACTGACCTTATACAGGGACCTCTGGTTCTTCACATCCCTTTATTTCTAGTGACAATTAGACACCACAGTCATGAACGGATGTAAGTAGAGGATTACCTGTACAGTTCGCATTTTCTCATTGTGATTGGCAAGTTTCAGTTGCATAAATACTGATGCTTTTAAATAGTGTTTCAGAACAAATACAACAAATGGCATGGCCTTGAAAATGGCACATTATTTGTATAATGACAGTTCCACTGCAAACAACTCATTTTTGAGGTGAGGACCTCAGAAACGAGAACTTTATTTTGTACATTATTTGTATGTAGTTGATGTTTTTTCCCCAATCAATAGTAAATTACAACTTAGCTAATGTAGGTAGAAGCTGATCCATTTCCAGAAACCTAAGTAGAACGGCCGTCTTTAATTTTTATACTTTGATTCACCTTCTGTATTCTAAATTGAGGGTCCAAAACCAGCCTAAATTTATATGTCAGCTTGGCTGAGTAGAAACAGTAAAACAAGTGTAAGAAACCTTCAAGCTACACCTGATCCCCCAGCACTTGTGTTCTGATTGCACCATTGAAATATTTTTTTTCTAAAATAAGAATAAAAACAGGTGCCTTTGTCTTTATCAATTGTATTCTTTAACCCCCTACCAAAAAAAATTGTCCCAACCCACGCCAGTGATAATGGTTTTTATATTTCATAATGTCACAAAACTTTGTAAACATATCACATTAATGACAAGAAGTCTTCTGTTTAAAATAATTCCCTTCCATTTCTCAAAAGTCAGAAATGGGGTATTAAATATCCCAGTTAAAAAAAAAAACAACCCATCTTATGCATATATATCCCAAAACTAAGGAAAAACACCCAAGCTTTTATATTTCATAATGGCATTGCAGCTTTTATCATTTTTATTGGCAATATTTTTTGTACCTTCAAGTCAATGTTGATGCCTGGAGACTGCTTAGACATGTCCTGCAGTTTTGTAAATTACCACCATTTAAAAATTATATTTTTTGCTTGCAATATATACATAGCTAAACAGTTTGTAAACATATATAAATGCACAATTAACATGGCAGACAGTGTGTTGCTGTGCATTGTATCAAAGTGCATGTTTACAAGACCAGTTAAAACATTGGCTAGCAAAAAATGCAGAAGCTGGTTTTTGTTCACAGCATTGATAATGCATGTACCCTGAGATTCGTTTTTTCTGTGCCGAAATTCCAAATCAGTTTTTTTATATGTTGATGAGTGCAGAATGTTCCAACTACTAGGAATATCAGCCCCACCCACAAGCAGCTTTGTGAATACGAGAATGAGATCAACCACTAAAAAAGAACTAAAGAGGATCAAGCAGCTAGCAACAATCCATATACAAAAAGAAAGGTTTGCCATTCGTCGGGACACAGTGTCAATGTACATCTGAGCAATGTAGAGACATATAAAAAGGAGAAAAATAGCCTGTAAAAAGTAGATGATTATTTTAAGCCACCCTCTTGCTGTTGTTCTTTTTCCTAACAAAGATAAACCTACTTGCACACTAGCCATGTAGATAGCAAGGTAACCGATGACAGAAAATATGCCCTCTCTGTTGGCATTTAGAAAACCAGTCCTTGAATCTTGCCCATTGCTTCCATGCAAAATAAACATCTTCAGAGGTGTAATCTCAAGAAAGCATTCATAAACCACAGCTAACATTACTGCGACTATCCAGGCTTTGTGCACGGGGAAGAGAGTCAGAAGAAGTGATGCACCCATTCGTATAGCAGCTAAAGTGAAGAAAAAGTTCCAGTGCACACCATATTCGGTGACATGCTCATAATAGTCAGCTGCTTTAACGCTCATTAGTCGTCCAAAGCCAAGGAGAAGGAGGGGCCATATGGTCAACAATTGCCTTGTGAGATAAAAGAAGTTGTGTTGGGTTGCACCAGGTTTCAGCCGAACTTCTGGACAAACCACACCATTTCCAAAAACAAATATTCCAACTCCCAAATCCATCACTCCTGTCCCATAAGACTCTGTTTTGGCATACCTCCGGGGATACTGTGGGAAGTCTACAGCCAGGATGCTAATGGATGTCCATAAATTGATGAACACTCGAACCGAGGTTATGGAGGGAATGTATTCTGGGTCCAAGTTGGTTCTCAGAAAATCATCTAAGATTCGCTTAAGAGACACTTGGACATAATTTGTCCGTTTAGTAAAAATGACAAAAATCAAGCCCGTGCAGAATGCCGTAATGGAGAGGACCACAAAAGGGAGTATGGAAGCTAAAATTGTACAGGAAAGTACTAGAGGTACAATTAAAACAGTGAAGTCTAGAAAAAAATTACTATACACCGAGCATAAAGGTCTTCCATTGTGGAGAAAATACAAAATTAGGAGCAGTCCTCTGGTGAGAACACATAATGGTGCAAGAGGTAAGCCAACAGAAATTTCAAGTAACGTCGTTCCATTTAGGTTACTTAGAAAGGCTTCTTTTACCAACCGCTGTGACATTTTTCAGCCTCTGCAAAGTTATATTTAAAACAAAAATCAGAATGGCAAGAAAATTAAAACAGGAATCAAAAGAAAGCATCTGGGTTTACTTAAAAATAGATTCCCACCTTTCAAAGACTACTTTCCAGTTTCTCAATGTACAATAGAGAATTATTGGACAAAACAATGGACAATACATTTGTTTTGCGTACAGTTGATGAAAAATATCAGTTAGCAATAATGATCTCCCCAGCTAGTCCTCGGCTTTTGACTGTAATGAACCCCAGAATTATGACTGTAAGTCATGCCAGTTATTAAGGGGTTCATCACAAACAATTTTGGGAAGCAGACGAGAAAGATCTGTGCAAGAAGATATATTCTGACCAGAGATATCATTGTGATCCAGAAAGGACCACCACAATTTAGACAGAAAAACTAATAGCCCTTCAATTAATAAAACTAACCCCTTTTTCCTTCTCATTTTCAATTCATCCCTTGGTGCATTTCAACTCATTACTTCTCCATATAATTACTGGAAGAGAAAATACTGTGTGAGAAAGGTAGAACAGAAGTCAAATAAAGAGATATAAATGTAATAAAAAATAAGTACTTCTTTGCATAAGCAGATAATTCAAGGAAGATTCATCGCTGTTCTCAGCATGTTTTTTTCTGTCTAGCAGATTCCTTAGAAATTCCTTAGTCTGCTGAAAAACAAAATAGTTATTCTTTGAAATCTACAAATTCAAAGAAATATTGCAATGCATTCTGATTGACAAGGCATGTACAACTCATAACAAAACATTGCTGTACAAAATGTGAAGGGCTGCTTTATCGTGTTCCAGTAAACACGTTTGGTTTTACTCCATTCCATTCCAATTCTGTTTATTCCCAAACTGGTCTAGACTGCTGAAATGCTAATCTCTTTTTTGGGGCTCATTACTAAATATGAAATTTGGTGTTTAGGTTTTTCTCCCTATAAAGGAAAGGGTAGAGAATGATTAAAATGTCAATGCACATAATAGTTATCTTATTTGTCAATCAGTCGTGAACACATTTTGAACTGCTGACAATAAAAATATTTTAAAAACAATAAAATCAAGCAAGCAATTAAGTATTCAGTCAGACACCAGCACTGCCCAGTTGTGACAAGAATTGCAGAAAACTTAAAATATTTAAAATTAATTTCCTTTTAACAGGAACAGTTAAAATAAATTTAAAATTCAAACTAAATCCCCTTGGAAGCTGCTTTCTAGGCAGCAAGTGAGTCTGGACCCTGCCCTTCTGAAACAACTAACAAATAAATACGAGCTTACAAATATCCCTATATTTTGACTATTAATTCAGACAGGCTGGGAGGCGGCAGCAGGAAGAGAGAAAAGTTTAAAATCCAGTTGAATGTTATCCATTTCTTTGCATTTTTCAAATATTCACCCGGAAATGCTTTGAAAGAATAACCTACATGAGTCACCAGGAAGAACAACTCCTTAAAAAAAAAAAACAACCCAAATAGGACTTGACTTGAGTTGCTTAAATGAGAATCACGCAGTTTAGAGAGAAGAATTGCCCTTTCAAAAGAATATTACATTTGGACGTCTGGAATAGTTTCTTCTTTTGCCTTCCGCTGCGGACTATTTTAAACTTCAGCTTGCCACAGCACCGTACACAAAAAAAGTAAAGGAGGAATCCGTTTCCTAGCGACATTTTCATCAGCAAATATCCTCCTAAACCGTACTGCCTGATTCACCACGCTGTTTGAGCAACGAATGCTCGTTTCCTATTAAAAATCCAGAGGATTAAAATGATACGCAAAATTATGTTCTGATGATAAGTATGTGGATTTTTTCGCGTCCATCTAAATCAGAGCCTTACTGAATCTCAGTGAACTCAGCCATAGATAAGATCAGACACCGAAATGAGGTCTTCGTTGACAAGTGGTTTATTCTAGGGCTTGTTAAAACTGGGACCCAAACCTCTACATCCATTTTTTTTTGCAGAGAAAGTTTTTTTTTTTAACCCCAAGTAGGAAAAAGGTCTTTTCACTTACATTTATAACATTTCGAGCATCTCTCCATTTAGCTTGGGCTAATGGACCTACAGAAACCACGGCTTTTGGTACTTATTCTAACCAGGTACCAAAGCCTCCCTCCTGCCCTTCCTTTAAAATCTGGAACAACCCAAAACCGGCAAATCCTTCGCTTAGCGTCTCCACCCGCTTAGAAGCGATTCCTTCAGATTTCAGATGTTGAGTGACATCTTCACCTTACGAAAACTGAATCCCTTTAAGTAGAAAGCTAGCCCTTTAATCCAGCTGTTTTATTCGAAGGACCGCGCGTACGTCCTTGTAATACAAAGAATTACAGGCAAAAATCGACGAAACTTCGCCTTTTGCGAAGTAGCTGGGAGAAAACGCAAAACCTCGAGCGCTATTCGCAAAGCACGTGATACAACTCCCGATCAGATCTTTCCACGAGCCACGTGTTGCATTTTCCCAGGGGTTGCGTCTTTCGGGGAGTTTTAACTTTGCAGAGTGCAAGACTTTCCCACTCCCGACTTCCCCAGAGGAAAACGCGCACTCCTTGCAAGAGCCCTCCGCCACTGTCCTTCGCTAACCTTCCCTCCCCAGAAAAAAACGCAGGGGGCTTTGGGCTCCGCAGGCGGGACGCTCAATCCCGGCAGCCAAGCCTTTTGATGATTCAAATTCAGCAGCCTCCGCCTCTTGCTCCTGCCCCGCCTTTGCCTGGACTGGGACCGGTAGGGAGCAACCTCAGCCTTCCTTCCCCGGTTGTTGTTAGAGGACATTTCCTTCGGCTTTCCCAGGACCACCACGAAACTCCGATTCTAGCTTTATCTGCTTTCTATATCTATCTATATGCGGCGGGTGAGTCAGATTGGGCAATATTACGATCTGTTTTCTCCCCCTCCCATCTCCGTGGCTGAACCAGAGCACTGATTATTCCGTCTGTCCCCTTAATATGCCCTCAAATCTTGAGAAATAAAAGGAGATGTAAAGGAGCAAGAGTTCTGCTGCGCATGTACGAAGTTCCTTCTTGCTTCCCAGGAGGAAGCTAAACCGTGGGAGGGGAGAAAACTTGGCAGAAGCAGTGTTTTTGGAAAAAGTTGCCAGATTGTATAAGAGAAGAGACAACTAAGAGGCCCGGCTTTCCTTTAATTTCAACATTTGAAAAAAAAAAAAAACTTTTGTAGCAAGTTATCCAGTAGTAACAGTAGGTTAGGGTTAAAAATAATGGCTAGGACCCTTTTGTTAATACATTAAAGTTGACCGTAGCTTTGAAACCATACTGACTTAACTGTAGCTCACAAGATACACATTAAAAAATAAAATTGTCTTTTGGTGTGTGTTGGTGAGTCAACTCAAGTATATATTTATATGCAACTCTTTGCAGTCAAACTAAAAGTGCTGGAATTTAAATACCAAATTTTAAATTCACCAATGTCCAAAATAAGCTCATTCACAAAATAGTTCCAAGTGGTCTGCCTGATACTTGTTTGATGAGTACAATGTCATAACTCAGTGGAACTTTTATACCCAAGAATAATCTACCACCAGCATGTGAAAAACTTAAATATCCTGCTTGTAATTTTTAAAGTTACAAAGCCAGAGGCAAGTGGCTTTTTTAAAAATATGAAATGTTTATATGAAAAACCCCATAGATTTCAATAGGACTGTCTTATATTAAAGATTTAGGTTTAATGAAAAGGGTGAAGGCATCTGGGGAATTTTGAAGGCTGTTTGAGATTGTTACCTTTTTAAAAGTTTGGCATAACAGGTGAAATGTAAAATCTTGACCAAACCTTGTTTATGGCTACACATGGTATACAAACCCAATTAAATATATTATGTTGGATACATCATGACCACAGCCTCATATTTGCTATCTGAAATTCTCCCACTAAAAATCTGGGACAAAAGTCTTCTAACCTCAATCAACTTGTGTTGCCAAGCCTGGGTTGGGTTGCTTAATAATGGAACCCCATCATCCAACTCAAATCCAGGCCTTGTTGCCATTTTTCTTTGAAACTGTGGTGGCTTTCTCTGGTTATCTTTTTCTTCCTTGAGGAATATCCAGTGGGCAAACTTGGCCTAAGGCTAAGTCTGATTTTTAAAAGAATTATTGCTGTTTGTTTTTTTTAATTGGAATTTGTGCTACAATGCTGTAGTAGTCTTCTGTGTCCATCAGCTTCTCATTAGATCCATCAATGTGAAGGGTTTTTTTTTCAGTCAAAGAGCTTATATCCATTGTTTATACTGCAATTCCACTAATCTTATTCAGTGGGCTCCCAGAAATATTATGCCCCCTAAATGAAGTTCTAATCTAAGGCAGGGAAAAGGGAGGACAAGCATTAAGAATTAAATATTCTGATTCAAGAAGATTGTTTTTATATCCCTAAATCCTGAATTTTGAATGTGTGTTTTGTTTTAAGCCAGTTTGGGGTGAGGCGGAGAAATTTTGTTTACGGCCCTTTGTATGGATTGTAGGTTATTTGAAGGACAGATATAATTCACAAAAAGCCATGGTATATACACAGCAGTAGATCTTTAAGGCTAGAGTACCTTTATTGTTATAAACAGTACAGTAGATTGTTCTTCTTGGCTGTTTTATGGTTTAGCTTGATTTAAATTAAATTATAAAATCTGAAGCTAGTGCTTGTTGACTTGATTCATAGAGAGAGAAAGAGATGGGGGAGGGGGGACAGAGAGAGAGGAAGAAAAAGGGAGATGGGAGAGGGAGGAAGAGAAAAAAGATGAGAGGGAGACAGAAAGACGAGAGTGAGGGAGATAGAGGAAGAAAGAGAGAAATGGGAGAGAGGGAGGGAAAGAGAAAGAGGGAGAAAGAAAGAGGGACACACACACACACAGATACCTGTTTTCCATAGAAAAGAAAACACAAGGGAACCACAAAACCTGAGTAGGTGTGGCTGGGAGGGTCAGTGACTGAATGTTGAGTTGGCCATGCTTACCCAGGTATTGTGGCTCCTGGTGTTTTGTTTTCTGTGGGAAACAGGTCCAAATGGCTCTTTGAGTGTTTAAGGTTGCAGACCCCTGCCCAAGAAAATACTTGAGGTCAGTGCTAATCCCTTCCTTTGCACTGTCTGGATTGGTAAGAGGCAAAGTGTGAGCGCATTTGCATATCGAATAAAGGAATCAAATTCTAGTCATCAAAAATTGTTCAAGGTAAACCCAGAGGCAGAGTATATTAACTGCATTGGTTGGCAAAGAAGACATCTGGGCTTAATATGATGGATAAATTCAGCCATTGTGATTTGTACAGAAGATCTGCGCTGTAGCTTGGCAATTTATTCCACAAATCAATCATTATAAACCATGGTTCAATTTAAAACTGATCCCATAGGCTATACTTGTACACTATGCTAATTAATGGTGAATATTATTAAGGTTTCCAGAATTAGTATTTTTCCATGATTTTCTCAGCACATGCAACTATAAACATTCTTTCCTATGTTTTACGATATTTATATGTACACTGTGAGCTTATGCACCAGAGACAAATTCCTTGTGTGTCGGATCACACTTGCTCAATGAAGAATCCTATTCTGTCCTGTCCTGTTCTGTTCTGTCCTGTCCTGTCCTCTCCTATTAATCCAACAAATATTATTTGGTTCTTACGTACCTCTAAGCTGAAACTCTGATATACAAAACAGAATGTTTAATTCAATTATGGCTTATATGTCTTGTTTCTTACCTGCTTACCTGCTTAAAAATGGCAATGCAAAAAATGGACATTGAGATCTTTGTGAGCATTTTCTCTGGGCAAATTTGCAGAAAATTTAGTGTTTGCCAAATAATAACAACATTGACCTTGTTTTGTCACACAAAAGCTAACAGAGTCAGAACCAATTAGCTTTTGTAGCGGGGACTTGAAGGACTATAATTAGACTTCTTTTTCTTCTGTTCAATTGTGTCCAGTTCTCAGAGACTACCTGAACAAGAGACCCTGCAGTTTTCTTGGTACGATTTTTCAGTTGTTTGCCATTATTTAACTTCCTAGGGCTGAGAGAAAGTGACTGGCTCAAGGTCACTCAGCTGCCTTTATGTCCAAGGCAGAACTAGAACTCACGCTCTCCTAGTTTCTAGCCTTCTTCTATGCGGAAGAAGGGAAACTACTTCTAGGCAGATATAAAACCTTTAGGAAAAGAAATAGGTTTTTTTAATTCAATTTTCTGCTTAAAATATATGGTAATAATGATTACAGTATAATAATGTTAGAAAGAAACTAATATAAATTGTATTATTGTACAACATAATTCTTTGTGAAGAAAGGGAATAATCTTAATAGAGAAAATAACAGCAGGGGAAATATAAATGTACTCTATGCATGTAATAAGCAAGCATCCAGTGTAGTTTAAAGCTATTATTATCTGCCAGTTGCTCTGAAGTGGAATGAAGCTAGCAATCAAAAAGTATGTTTTCACACTTTTTCCCTCCTTGTCCTCATAAAACTTTCCACAGACCACACCCATGTAAAATTGTTCTGCCTCTGTTTTCCCTTCAGGCATTCCTCCTCTCTTTGCTAATGTGCGTGTAACAATCTGGAAACAGATCTGTTATATTGGAGAAAAATCATTGAATTATCTTCAACCCCGGCAGTCCACAACAGTAGCCGTGTGTGTTGTATGTTTTGTAAACAGCTGCTTCACAGGTTTCAGGTTAGGATGAACGTGCATAGTTGGTCCCTCCCTTTATAACACTTACCAAACTACATTGAAGATTTGGAAAAAAATTAAAAGTAAATACAATTTATCTGCAAGAAACACATATAAGAAAAAAACATGTTGGTTTGAAAAAGCCTGATGGAGTAATTTTGATGATTAATCGACAATTAAACCCAAACTGTTCTTCAGATGAAAATTGGTAGGTATATGGTAGTTGAAGTCAAAATGCAAAGGATTAATACTATACAGGTAGTCCTCGACATAAGACTGCAATTGCACCAAAATTTCTGTTTCCAAGTGAGACATTTGTTAAGTGAATTTTGCCTCATTTTATGATCTTTCTTGCCAGAGTTGTTAAGTGAATTCACTGCAGTTTTTTAGTTAGTAACTCAGTTGTTAAGTGAATCTGGCTTCCCCATTGACTTTACTTGTCAGAAGGTCGTAAAAGGGCAACACATGACCTCAGGATACTGCAACTCTCATAGTGTCTGAATTTTGATCGTGTGATCATGTGAATGCTACAATAATTGTAGGTATGAAAAACAGTGATAAGTCACTTTTTTCAGTACCCTTGTAACTTTGAACGCTCACTATGAAACTAAACAACGCTGTTGTAAGTTGAGGACTACCTGTAATTGTTGGTCTTTGCATACAAAATGATGACAAGAGTTCATACAATTAGTGCTGAACAAAACCATACAAATTATACTAGTGAATGCCTTAGAACTCTGTTTCTCTTCTCATCTTCTCTGAGCTGGAGAAGTTTTTTGGATGATAAACTAAATGTCTTAGAAGAAAATCAAGAAAGTCCAGCTGCCTCTTGAAAAAAAAAACACTTTTGGGACAGGGCTCTAAGGTCGGAGCTGAAGAAGCTTCTTGGATGAGAAGCAACTTTGGGGCAATTATGATCTGGATGACTGAACATCTCTATAGACTCTTGAAGTTCTGTTTGAGTTCAATTCATCAATCCAATTCATTCCAATTACTGTATGAATCCTACATTTTTCTAAACCAGAATGCAGTTTGATTTACTGAGATTCATGAACCTAGTAATTGTAGGGAGGCAAATGATGTTGCATGTGTCATGATGATGTCACACACATGTAGATGTCATGATGCATATGATTTCATTGTACCAAATTCCTTTGTCAACAAACCTTTAAACTGAGGGTTTAGTAACTACAGTTAGTCCTGAATTTACAGCCATTCTTTTAAGAGAGTGGAGTTACAACGGCTTTGAAAAAAGTGATTTATGACCATTTTTCACATTTACGATCATTACAGCATCCCCATGGTCACCTGATCAAAATTCAGATTCTTAGCTAACCGTATTGAAGACAGTGTCCTGGGATCACGTGATCACCTTTTGTAACCTGAGAAGCAAAGTCAACGGGGAAGCAAGAGTCACTTAGCGACTGTGTTATCAAACAACTGCAGTGATTCACTTAGCAACCATGGCAACAAAGGTCATAAAATGGGGCAAAACTCACTTAACTGTCTTGCTTAGCAATGGAAATTTTGGGCTCCATTATGATCATAAGTCAAGGCACCCATTTAGGCAAGGTAGAATGAAGCCAGAAGGGCAAAATTCATGTAAAATGAAAAGGCAGAAATCACACCAGAATACAAATCTCACAAAGTTTCATGACAGGAATGTGGATTGTTATTATTTTTAAAAAATAATGTTTTAAATTTAGGTTCCTGCAGATAATATCCTGAAGTCTTTGGAATAATATCTCATTTGCATTAGTCTCTTAATGCTTGTATCTCTGCTTTTAGGCTAATGGCTTTACCGCCCATCACAATGGGGAAGATAACTCTTTGGACAAAGAAGTTGAATCTTTTCTGAGTGACCAACAACAATTCTCTTGCATCAGTGACCTTACCAAAGTGAATCCTGTAACCACCACAACGGGTAAGAGTTCAAACACTCTTAAAGAAAACAGTTTGCTGCAGAGCTACTCTTATTTTACACATATACAATCAGGTCGCCTGTTCATGAAAATTCTTCTCTCACTTGAAATCAACAATCAGTTTGCGGTATAGATTGTATTGCCTTTAATATAATTTGATTTAATAGACTCAATTGAGGTGAGGAGTTGTCTCTTGTAACATCAGAGATATTAGTCATTTGAACAATAATATCATGCAGAAATTACAGGTAGTCCTCAATTTACAAGCACAATCAAGGCCAAAATTTTTGTTGCTAATAAGACATTTGTTAAGTGATTTTTGCCCCATTTTACCACCTTTCATTTAGTTGTTAAGTGAATCACTTCAGCTTTTAAATTAGTAACATGGTTGTTAACTGAATCTGGCTTCCCCACTGAGTTTCCTTGTCAGAAGGTTGCAAAAGAGGACAGGACAATGCAACCGTCATAAATATGAACCAGTGGCCAAACATCTGAATTTTGATCACGGGACCATGGGGATATTGTAAGTGTGAAAAACGATCCTAAGTCACATTTTTCAGTGCCGTTGTAACTTTGAATGGTCACTAAGTGAACTGTTGTTAGTCAATGACTATCTATATACTAGAAATTTGGCCATTGAAATGCATTGAGGCCTGGAAATAAAACTGCCTACTTTACAGGTAGTCCTTACTTAACAACTGTCCTGTTTAGCAACCATTTAAAACTACAATGGAGCTGAAAAAGAAGCTTTATGTCCAGTCTTTGCATTTGACCATCACAACATCCCTGCAGTCATATGATAAACACCAGTGGATTTTTACAACTGTTCAGGTCCCGCCTTAGCCATGAAAACCAGCTGGGTGACTTTGGGCTACTCATTCTCTCTCTCAGCCCAGCCCACCTCACAGGGATGTTGTTATATGGGGAAAATAGGAAGAAGAATGAATATTAGATATGTTTGCCACCTAGAGTTTCTCTGTAAAAACAACAAAGGTGCGATACAGTAAATAAAAATTAAAAATGAATAACTAAATAGAAGAAGTGAGATGGTAAGCCTGTTGTGTGTACATGAAGTTTTGCTTAGTGGCAGAGTTGCCCGTCCAACTTGTGGTTGCTAAGTGAGGTCTGTCCGTACAAGAAGTTCAAACTGCACTCTAGGATCACGTTGCAGCAACTTTTATTGCCTTTGAAAAACAAGCAGCTTCAGGTAGTTCTCAACTTACAACCACAATTGAGCCCAAAATTTATGTTGTTGAGACTTTTGTTAAGTGAATATTGCCCCATTTTACCATTTCTTACCACAGTTGTTAAATGAATCACTGCAGTTGCTAAGTTACTAACATGGTTGTTAAGTAAACCTGGCTTCCCCATTGATTTTGCTTGTCAGAAGGTTGCAAAAGGGGATCACATGAGCTTGGGGCACAGTGTCGGTCATAAATATGAACCAGTCAGCAAACATCTGAATTTTGATCACATGATCATGGGAATTCTGCAATGGTTGTAACTGAAAACTGGTCATAAGTCATTTTTCTCAATGCCATTTCAATGACAAACTGTTGTAAGTTGGGGACTACCTGTAATGAAGATTGTGCAGTGGCTCAGTGGTTAAACACGCTGAACTTGTCAGCCTGGGTTCAAGATCCAAGCACACAAATGGGGTGAGCTCCCATCCTCACCCCAGCTCCTGTCCACCTAGCAGTTCGAAAGCATGTGAATAGTAGATAAATAGGTACCACTTTGGTGGGAAGGTAACAGCATTCTGTGCACCTTTGGCATATAGCCATGCTGGCCACATGACCTCAAAAATTGCCTTTGGACAACGCTGGCTCCCTTGGCTAATGGCCAATGAAACAGAGATGAGCACTGTACCTTAGAGTCGGACACAACTTGATAGGGGTCAACCCTTAATGGTCTTCAGCAGCAAGAAAATAGGGAAATCATTTGTAATCTGTAATTTGGAGATCTGCTTATTCCAGTCTGGTCATGCTGAATGTTAAAAAAAGAAGTAATTGCTTTACTCTCCAATACAGCTGATTAATGGCCCATTTGCACCCACCCCTATTGCCTTCAGGAGTTTGAATTACAGGTAGTTCTCGGCTTACAACCACAACTGAGCACAAAATTTCCCTTGCAAAGCAAGGCAATTGTTAAGTGAATTTTGCCCCATTTTTTGCTTTTTTTTTGCCACGGTTAAGCAAATCATTGCAGTTATTAAAGTGAATCAAGTGGTCATTAAGTAAATCCAGATTTCCCCCATTTACTTTGCTTATTAGAAGCTGGCTGAGAAGATGACAAATAGTGATCACGTGACCCTGGGACACTACAGGCATAAATATAACGCAAAAACTTGCGAGTTGCCAAGCACCATATGATTATGGAGATGTTGCAATAGTCGTAAATGTGAAAACTGTCATAAGTCACTTTTTCAGTGTTGTTGTAACTTCAAACGGTCACTAAATGAATGGTTGTAAGTTGAGGACTATGTGTATGTCTTTGTGCATAACGCCACTATTTGATATTTGGAATTTTATACACATGAACTCCAGAATTCTCAAGCCAACTTAACAATTGCTGGGGAATTGAAACTCATGATGTCCAGAGTAAAATCAGCTTTGTCTGTCCAAAAAGACATCAGATGAGGCAGAGACTTACTATTCTGTATTTTGAAAACGGTAACTAAAATAGATCATTCAAAAGAGAACAGGTAGTAAACATTGACAAAATGTTCTGCTATCTTTAGTTCTGAGGTGTCTGCAAGCAAGATATGCAATCAGTGTGTTTTATACCAAAGCGGGGTGCAGCCTTGTGGCCATCAACCCCTTCCGTCCGGTTCAGTCTCTCTACTCGCAAGAGCTCATGAACGAATACCACACTGTTGACCATCTTCAGGTGAGAAGATATACCGCAGTGGCTGATTGCTACCTTTCTGAAAAACCAAACTGGGTTTAAAGTTAGATTAATGCTTTTCAATATTGGCAGCTCTAATATGTGTATGGGGACCTTGATGTCTTCTAAGCTTAGTGGTTTTTTGCAGATGTTTCATTACCAAAGTAGGTAACGTCATCAGCTCTAGCATTGCACTCCACAGTTCAACAAAATATTCTCTTCTATCAATCAAAGATGTGCAGGCTTCAACTCCCAGAATTCCCCAAGCCAAGCAAGCATAAAGCACTAAGCTCAACAAGTGCTAGGGCATATTGCACAAATTATGTAATTTGCAGTTGTCAAATATTTTACTTGTCAAATATTTTACATGTTCAATCTTTGTTTACTAGTTTGGCTGTTAAATTTCAAACTAATTTTACTGCATGGAATTTCACAATTGTTTTTCTGATTTGTATGACACTTCAATACAGGCATATAATAAAATATTGCTAGAACCCTTATTTTAAAACAAAGCATTGGACTGAAGCTTTCTGTCATTTAATTTTTTGAAATATATTGGGGGAGACCAATCACAAGCAGTGCAGTGCATAGTGGAGGTGATGAGTTAGGAGTAGAGAGACGCTGCTTTTAAAGTCTCTCTTAGGCATGGAAGCATCTGAATGACTTCAGGTCAGTATTCTTTCTTGGTTCTAACAAACATAGACTCTGTGACAGGTCATCTAATAATCAAAACTTTGCCATCACAATGTGTATTGTAGCTTCATTGTAAGAAATCAGTGAGCACAATGTAAAAAATAATGTAAAATGTAAAAAATACATTGTGGGGAAAATTCAAAGAAAAACTACTACAACAACTACTGTTGGAGCTTAGAAGACACGGCATTGGCAAGAACCAAGGTGTATCCTTGTGCACATGAACACTCGGCCTATCCTAGCTTTAGTTAATTTTCCAGTTCTGGTTCAGTCCACACGGTGCATGTCCAGTTGTGTCCATGAGTGTGTGTGTATCAAAACAGGCAAGACGCAGTTGTGGTACTACTTCCACCATCCATCCAGGATGCTAGTGTTGAGTCCCTTTTGCTGAAAATGTTTCAATCTGCCATTGAATTGTCTGTTTCCATTTTTCTTTCCAATTGCTTGTGTATTTTTTTTCCCTTAGGAATTAAAACCTCACATTTTCACAGTAGCAGAAGAAAGCTACCGAAATGTCCAGAGCCAGATTCCATTAGTTAATCAGTCCATAATTGTTAGCGGGGAAAGTGGTGCTGGGAAGGTAAGATAAGGTGTCTTTAAATCTGTTTTGAGGAAATTTTGCATGCTTATTTTTGGTTGAATTGACCTACAAGTTTGTGTGACCAGCTGATTTTTTTACCTGGATTCAGAAGGTTGCCACTCTAACTCATTTTTCCATGTTAGAACTTAAGGCTTTGAATTTCATCCCCTTCCAGTTTTGCCTTGGATGGAATCAGTTCATTCTTGCCTCTGCATAACTGTAGTTACTGAATCAGGATTAAAGGGAGATTCCAGATCTTGTTAAAGATGGAATTTGATTCAAAATCTGTTTCTAGACATGGACCTCTCGCTGCCTGATGAAGTTTTATGCAACTGTTGCAGCTTCATCTGACATTCCGGAAGGCAGTATAATGGTGGAAAGGATAGAGCAACGAGTATTGGATTCCAATCCTGTCATGGAAGCTTTTGGTAAGTATGATCTTTTTAATAAACAAAATGTTTGCTCTAGCACAGAAGTCCCCAACCTCCGGGCCATGGCCTATTCGGAACTGGGCCACATAAGTGGCATGCCTCCACTGGTCACATGGAACCACCACCACCCCCGCCCCCCGGGCACCAGTCTGCCAAGCCATAAAGGTTGGGGACCAATGTTCTATCAATGGAACAATCCAATTCAAATAAAAATTAAATCTGATCCAGTGTTACTCAATCTTGCCGACTTTAAGATGGGTGGACTTCAACTCCCAGAATTCTCCCTGCTGATTGGAGAATTCTGGGAATTGTAGCCCACCTGTCTTAAGTTTGGAAAGGTTGAGAAACACTGATCTAGTCTGTTCAAACAGTTCCAGACCATAAGTGTCCATAGCAAGCTATCAGACTAATCAGACGTGCATTAGGATGCTATCTAACAAGCTTCCTTCTTTTTGTATCTGCGCAATATTATAATGTAAACATAAAGTTTGTACTGCAGCCCTTTTTGCTCAGACACCTGTGAAAAATGGGCTGCAATACAAACTTTGTTTATGTTACCATATTATGCAGAGGTACAAAAAGAACAAAGCTTGATAGATGAAACAAGTAACTTACTTCTTGGTTTAAAAATACTCCTCAAGGCATAATTCTTACATGTAGTTTTTCCAGCTGATTATAAAGTCAGACATACCCAACTAAAATTGTCTAAACACAGCCATGAATAAAAAAAGTGTGACTGGCTTTCCACGTTGCCCCAAGCAACATTTTGTAAAACAACAACAACCCACAACGGGTTGATTTACAAAAATGTACTAAATTATATAAAGGAGTGGCCACATTTGAGAACCTGGAGGGTCACAAGATATAAGGCAATTAAACTAATTGGGTAAAACTGGTTTGGTAGATGACATTTTAAAAAATTATATTAGTCCAGTTCTGAGCCTTGCATTACTTTCCTGCGTTGAATGATGATATACTATAGAAAAAACAGGATTTTAGGCTACACACACACACACACACACACACACACACACACACACAAAATAAATCAAGCCAAGTTAACATAGCATGCTATGTTAAATCCCCTTGCATGTTAACATAATGCCGGATCTCTCTTTTACCTGAATTCATACTTCCTTTAACCTTTGTGATAGATAGGTGTGTCTTGCATATTGCCAGTTTTTTGTTAATTTTACAGGAAACGCATGCACCCTTCGGAATAACAACAGCAGCCGCTTTGGGAAATACATCCAACTTCACTTAAACAGGTATTGTCAATTCACTCATATAATGATATTCTATTTTGATGATCTTAACAATTTCTTCCACAACTTTTATTTTGTGTGTGTGTGTGTGTGTGTGTGTGTATGTGTACATGTACACACATGCGCACACACACATTTGAAAAGTCAATGGACTTGAGCTCCAATCCAACCTGAAGCTTTGAAAAATATATTTGAAAGATGCCATACAGGCAGTCCCTGATTTTTGACCCACATTGCAACTGGATTGCTGGGTTTAAGTCATTATAGTAATAAGTCAAGGGACTCTTATGAACAGACCTGATTTTATGACACTTTTCGCAGCAGTCATTAAGCAATTTGGTGTGGTTGTGAAACAAATCCACAGTCATTATATATATGCTGCCTTCATAAGTGTGAATCATTCTTCCAAACAGGTGTTTTTGGCCAGAAACCAGCAAAGAAAATGCCAGAAACTAACAAAAAAGTCACACATTATGGCCACATGATTCGGGCACTTTGAAACTGATCATAAAGGCATACTGGTTGCCAAGTGCCCAAAATGTCACATGACTGCCATGGGAGGAGTAGGTGGCATGACACTTCATAATTGCCACAAATGCTTTTAGGGGCTATAAAGCACTCATTCCAGGCCTGTAATAATTTCAAGCAGTCATTAAGCCACCAGTTGTAAGTCAAGGACTGCCTGTATTCTGGGCAAGAATTTATGCATAGTGTCCAGGGGTGGGATCAAAACAGGCAAGACAACCAATGTGGCATTAAATTGAAGGGTGGAGTTTGCATCAGGGGTGGAATACGAGAGGGTTAACTACCGGTTCAGGATTTACGAGCTTCCCTGCAGGCTGAGAGCTGTGCGCCTGTAAATCATCAGTACGCTCCGTGCAGAGAAGCAGCCTTTGAAACAGCCCTCTTTTCCTGCTTTTCTAACTGCAGCTGTGCCTCGTTCGGCAGCTGAAGTTGCAAAATCAGGAAATAAAGATCAGGTAAGAGCCCGGGTGGGTGGGCAGGCAAAAACATCAGCAGACATAGAACCGGTTCTATGTCTGCTGCTCTTCAGAGCTATTGATTCTGCAGAGGTGGACAGAACCGGTAGAAACCCACCCCTGGCTTGCATCATGCACAGCATTTGCCATCCTGTCTATTTTGAACACCCGTCAAATATGTTGAGACTACACCTTCCAGCATCCTCATCAATTATGGCCATTGATTGGCATTCTTGAAGTTAAAATCTTTGCTTTTTGCAATCCATTGAGTTGGGAAAGCTTGTATGTGAAGAAGGGCCTTCTGGAATAGAACAGGAAATGTAATTTTGCTGAACTTCCACTGCTCTTAGAGTCTAAGATTTAATTTTAATCTGCCATTCTATAGATCTCAGCTTTTAACAAGTGCTTCCATTCAGACTTTTCTTCTGGAGAAAACAAGAGTTGCTTATCAAGCCCCTCAGGAAAGGAATTTCCATATTTTTTACCAGGTTTGTGTTTTTATTGTGTTTGTTTGATGTGAATCAATAACTTCTTTTAAAATTTGTGTGCATATAGTGATGCTAGGAAAATAATTCTGCTTTGTTGCTGAGAGTCTCAGTATGAGTAATATCCTTTTTTTAATGGAACAACCTGCTTGCTTCTATTGTTTGTGGGAAAATGGTAGGCAGGAATATTAGGCATATTTACTGTCTTGTATTCACACACACACACACACACACACACACGAAAATCTAATAATGTTGATGAGAAAGACAAAAAAGTTTAGTTGTAATTGTAATGCAAGTAGTCCTCAACCACAATTAAGCCCCAAATTTAGGTTGCTAAATGAGAAATTTGTTAAGTGAATTTTGACCCATTTTATGAATTTTCTTGCCACATTTTGTTAAGTGAACCAATGCAGTTGTTAAATTAGTAACATGGTTATTAAGTGAATCTGGCTTCCTCATTGACTTTACTTGGCAGAAGCTCTCAAAAACGGATCACATGGCCCCAGGACACTATGACTGTCATAAATATGAACCACTTGCCAAGCATCAAAATGTAAATCACATGACCATGGAGATGCTGTGATGATCACAAGTGTGAAAAATAATCCTGTCACTTTTTTCAGTGCTGTTGTAACTTCAAATGGTCAGTAAGCGACCTGTTGTAAGTCGAGAACTACCTATACCTAGAGACAGCAGAATAGAAGAAAAATAACTGGAAAAATTCACAAAACATAAAGATCTGCAAATAGATGCACAATGATTGTGGCAAAAGGAAGCAAAGGTATTACCAATAGGCATAAGTGTCTTGGGTGCTATTTCAAAACATCTGGAGATGCACTTGAACATCATTGGCAGTGACAAAATCCCACCAGTCAACTGCAAAAGGCAGCTTTACTCAGAACAGTTTACATCCTACAAAGATACCTTTAATACCTCCAGACAAAAACACCCGCCTATCCAGGGTCCTTGGGAAGGACGCGATAGGTGGACAAAAATGCCACATCCAGTCTAAGCATCTGGCGGACCAACCATAATATGCCAGCTAAGTAAAGATTCTTTGAACTGGGCCTGACTTCTAGGAATATTGCAAATTTAGCCATTCTGGGGGTGCAAAAGGGGGTTGCCATTGTCTTCTTTCCATGATTTCCCAATTTATCCTGTAATCCAGGGATTTCTTTGCAGTCTCCCATCCAAGTACTAATCAGATCCATTCTTTCTCAGCTTTAGCTACTAGATGCCTGTGAAACATGTCTAATGGTTAAACCATAGTTGCGTTAAATATTGATCCTGTTGCCATAATTGTGTTAAGCTCATTTAATAACCTAGTTTTTTAAATCTTTTCCATATAGATTGCCTGATTAGTATTAACTTTAGATGCAGAGGGTGGCATGTTGTACAGCTTGTTTGGTTTGGTTTTTTTCCAGCCGATGCCACCACTTAGTTTGTATTGGCTGACCTAAAAAAATGAAAAAGATTCAGATCTGGTTAGAGTTTGGACAGGAAGCCAGCAGGAGACCCCAGAAATGTAAGCTAGAAGTTACCATGTGCCGAATTCAACTTAAGTAAGACTACCATCACTGTACAAATTCAGTAAATGGGTTAATTCAGTAAGCACATTTAGCAAGTTCTGTAAATGCCGCTGTATGAGGATGACAGTCAGTACCTAGGACACAAATGTAGGTTTGAGGGAAATTGCCACACTGTTTTCTTACTTTCCAGATTGCAAAGGGAGCCACCCTGGATGAGCGCCAAGAATGGGATCTTCTGGAGAGCGCACATTTCTGTTGGCTTCCAAATTCTGAAAAGACTCTAGAAGGTAGCATTTGAAAACCCAGATCATGTAAAGACCCTTCGGCTTCTTTAAAGAAAGGGAGGAGATTGACTGTAAGCCTAAATAAATAAAATTTAATGTAATTAATTAAGCCGAGTTGCTGTTACAGAAGAAATGACTAGATGAAAACTGCTGGAACAAATTCTGAGGCTAACTTTCAAAAAAAGATAAGGAACTATGGTGACAAATCTACCTTTTTTAACTATCAGCTGTATTCATTTAAAAGGATTTTTACATAATTTCTGAAATACCTTAGTAGGATTATTTAATTGGAGCTTAGTCCCCAGCAAGCTGGGATTTTGGTTTGGTTTTAAAAAAATGTATTTGTTTGTTTATAATTTCTGAGCTACTTCAGTAGGATAATTTAATTGGAGTGTAGCCCCACCAAGTCCTGGGATTTTGGTTTGATTTTTAAAAAATGCATTTGTTTGTTTATAATTTCTGAGGTACTTCAGTAGGATTATTTAGTTGGAGCGTAGTCCCACCAAGTCCTGGGATTTTGGTTTGGTTTTAGAATATTTATTTATTTAGAAAATGTATTTGGCTACCGAACTCGCTCTTGGTGACCCCAGACAGCTATTAGGGATGAAACCCCAATACAAAAACCAATAACCGCTCTCCACCCATCCCCATTTCTCTCAGTACTGCCTGGCCCTGGATGTATAACCTGAGGATTCCCAAATGTCAAAGTTTAATGTTAGAGGCAAGGAAAATACGTTAAGTACAGGAAAAATGACAATATTTTCTTGCTTTCATGAAAGTGAAAATAAGTTTGCTTTTGCCTCATCCATTTTTCATGATTCTTCCCATTTTCTGAAGCAGGCGGAATCAAGTATAGTCTACCTGCAATTTCAACTCTTAAAAGTTATTCTTGCACTTGAGCACTTTGGCCTTACTAGGTTCGTTCTGATTCAGTACCAGTGCATGTTAACTCAGGCTGTTGGTTAAATTGGAGCAGCAAATCATTGTTACGTCTTACAAATCATGATTTGGGACTGCCTTAGAGCCGCCTGATCTTCAGGAGAGAAGAGAGAACTTCCATCTAACAAATGTCTCTTTGCCTTGTAGAAGACTGTTTTGATGTGACTCGGGAGGCCATGACCCACTTGGGTATCGACAGTTTCACCCAGAGGAATGTTTTTAAGGTCAGTTAAACCTTGGCTCAATAGCAGTTGGATTAATTGATAGGATTTGTTGTTGTTGGTTGCAAAGTCGTGTCTGACCCATCGTGACTCCATAGACAATGTTCCTCCAGGCCTTCCTTTCCTCTACCATCCCCCGGAGTCTATTTATGCTCACGCCAACTGCTTCAGTGACTCCATTCAGCCACCTCTTTCTCTGCCATCCCGTTCTTCTTTTCTCCTCAATCGTTCTCAGCATTAGGCTCTTCTCCAGTGAGTCCTTCCTTCTCAGGAGGTGGCCAAAGTATTTGAGTTTCATCTTCAGGATCTGGCCTTCTAAGGAGCAGTCAGGATTAATCTCTTCCTGGACTGACCGGTTGGTTGGCCTTGCAGTCCAAGGGACTCGCCAAGGGAGTCTTCTCCAGCACCAGAGTTCAAAGGCCTCAATTCTTTGGCACTCAGCCTTCCTTAGGGTCCAACTTTCAGAGCCATACATTGCAACTGGGAAAACCAGAGCCTTGACTATACACACTTTTGTTGGCAAGGTGATGTCTCTGCTTTTTAGTATGCTGTCTAGATTTGCAATAGCTTTCTTCCCCAGGAGCAAGCGTCTTTAAATTTCTTGTCAGTAGTCCCCATCTGCGGTGATCTTGGAGCCAGGAAAGTAAAATCTGTCACTACCTACATTTCTTCCCCATCTATTTGCTAGGAATTGTGAGGCCAGATGCCATGTTCTTAGTCTTAGTTACAAATCTGTGATAGGATTTGTTAGGCCACCTAATCAGCACATATTGATCTTTGAGGGTGATTTAGCATATCCTGAATTTCAGCAGCCTGGCTTCATGCCGTTTTTGTCTGTGTTCACAGAGGATGTTTTTTTTTATCCTAGGGTGGGGTTTTTTTCCTTCAAATCTTCTGCTGGTCAGTTTCCAGTAAACTCAGTTTCTGAGTATAGATCATCCCAAAAACATCACCAGTACAGAATACAGAGAAACTAACCAGTTTGCAACCTCTTTTTGTTACAGATACTAGCTGGTCTTCTCCATTTGGGCAATATTCAGTTCTGTGAGTCAGAAGATGAGGCACAACTTTGTGAGTTAGAAAACCTGGCCAAAGGTGAGCTGCCCATGAGCCAGTCCTCCAATCTCAAAACTGTCTAGTTTCAGCTTTGCCAAAGAATCATGGTTTAATTCTGAAGATGGTGTAAAACCAGACATTTGCATCTTATTCAGCAAAGTACGTCATAATACAGATAGTCCTTGACTTACAACAGTTCATTTAGTGATCGTTCAAAGTTACAACGGCACTGAAAAAAGTGACTTATGACCATTTTTCATACTTGCGACTGTTGCAGCAATCCCTATGGTCACGAGATTTATATTCGGGTTTATGACGGTTGCAGTATCCCAGAGTCCTTCTGACAAGCAAAGTCATTGGAGAAACCAGATTCACTTAACAACTGTATCACTGTATCTATCACTACAGATTCCCTTAACAAATGTGGTGAGAAAAGTCGTAAAATGGAGCAAACTCACTTAACAAATTTCTCAACATAAATTTGGGGCTCTGTTATGGTCATAAGTTGAGGACTAACTGTATAATGTCGGATATATACAAATACAGATGTTTGTATCTGTATAAATTGTGTGTGTGTGTGTGTGTATGGTTGCTGACTTAGAAAATTTTAGGATGATAAGTCATTTTCCCATTTCATATTTCTGAACCACCTATAGATCAAGCCAAGATATTCTCCTAAGCTTTATATTGTAGAACAGAAATTTATCCAGGCTATTTTAAGAAAAAAGTGTCTGACCCCCTTTTTTTAATGATTCTTTTAAAACAAGGCTTCGCAGAGACTGCTTCCCGGCTTTTAAGAGTACCTGGGGAGCAGTTGTTGGACACACTCAGGATCCGGACGATAACCGCTGGGAGACAACGGCAGGTGTTCAGGAAGCCTTGTCTCAAGGCAGAGTGTGATACAAGGAGGGACTGTCTGGCCAAGGTGATTTATGCCAGGTAAATCGTTATACCAGCATGGCTGGCTGGCTGGGGAATTCTGGGAACTGAAGTCCATACATTTTCAAGTTGCCAAGGCTGAAAAACACTGCCTTGGATACTTCATAAAAGCATCAACTGTTCATCAAATGTCCTTAAAAGTCTGTGTTTTCATTCCTTGTATCACATTTTAAAATGTCATGTATCTTTGTGATATTAACTGATAGATCTCAGTTTGTGCATCTCTCGCCATTCTATTCCTCAAAATCTCTTTCTCTCCTTGAGGAGGGTAAGGTAACCTGGAAGAAAAAGTATAATCTTCATGATTGATTATTAGCTTTGGACTGGGTCTTCAGTCCTGTTTATGACAGACAATTAACAACTCAGTATTTGTGTTTACGGCTTCTTTGTTGCTATGTAATAGCATATCTGGCTGTTTAGAGTGACACAATTTTGCATCTTTCTTGCAGGATCTTTGACTGGCTGGTGTCTGTGATCAACGAAAGCATCTGTGCCTCAAATTCCGTGTGGAACAACTTCATAGGTATTATTTGGGGTCATCTTGGATACATAACTGCTGGCAGAAATAGTTAGAATCCACATTAAATAATGTTCTATACGTTGAACCTTCTGCAATCTGGGAATCATCCAGTTTCTTTCAGGGCTCTGATTATTACCTTTACAGCTTTAAATGGTTTGGGATGAGGCTACAGATAATCCTCGACTTATGGCCACAATTGATCCCAAAATTTGCAGTTGTTCAATGAGTTTTGCCCTATTTTACAACCTTTTTGTCGCAGTTGTTAAGGGAACCACTGCAGTTGTTAATTGAAACGTGGTCATCAAGAGAACCTGGCTTCCCCATTGACTTTGCTTCACTCCAGGTCTACTTGATGTTTACGGTTTTGAATCTTTTGTGGAAAACCATTTGGAACAGCTCTGCATCAACTATGCCAATGAGAAACTGCAGCAGCATTTTGTCGGCCATTTTCTAAAGGCTCAACAGGTAATACTTTGCCAGTGAATTTTCCCCAAGGATTCTTTTGCAAGAATCGGTGGTTGTGTCCCAGGGTCTTTGGGCAAATGGAAATCATTTTCTCTGTTATTTTCCTATGATTTTGATTCCCCCAGGAAGAATATGCTGAAGAAGGTCTTGAATGGTCCTTTGTAAACTACCAAGATAATCAAACCTGTCTGGATGCCATTGAGGGGAATCCTGTTAGCATCTTCTCCTTGCTCAATGAGGTGAGTCCAAAGCTTCCGTTTCTTCTTTTTCAAATAAGGTCCATTAAATCGTAATCAGAGCTATCCAAAGGAGAAGAGGCTAAACTGGCACTGTAAGACAATACCGATGCAATGCAAAACAAGGGGAAAAAAAGGAATGTAAAAGGCATGAAGGAGTGCCTGATTTAAAGACCACAGCATTTGTCCCAAAGATGCTTTTTTCAAGAGACATCTGGACTTTCTTTGTTTCTCCTTGAAGACATTTCTCATCCAAGAAGCTTCTTCATCTCTGACTGGATGGTGGGGAATGGAAGGATTTATATTCCTTGCAGACAGCTGGTCATTTGCATTCTTTTAGAGAGTTGTTGAGGCCACTTGGAGGTTTGTCTCTGTCCTCAGGGTCACCTGAGTAGTGCAAATAAGTGTGGAACCTCCTTGGAACTGCCGAAAGGACGTGTTGTAAACAGGAGATGGGTGGTGTCATATCCCTCCCCTTGTGTTGGGTGAAGCCTATTCAGTTTTGACATAGATGGCCTCTTTGACTCCTCTTTTAAACCAGAGGTCCTCTCTGTCCATAATGTGGACTTTGCTATCTTCAAAGACTGAAAACCTCCATAGACATTGACCACGACATTGGATTTCCCCCTTTTTGGACTGCTCCAAAATACTCGTCTATGCCTAAATTTGATTGGCTTTGGTCGTAATTGTCCTCCCCCCCCCCTGCCCCACCCCCCCAGCCAACTTTTCCCCACTGTGTCTCTCTTTTCTTTGGCAGGCCTGTCGCCTTAACTGGACTTCCAATGCTGCACAGTTTCAAAGTCGGATTGAGATTGCTCTGTCCAAGAACAGGAGTGTAAGCCGAGACAAATTTAGGAAGGAGCCAAACTTCATCGTATCCCATTATGCTGGTAGTGTCTGCTATCGAATTGAGAGTATGGTGGAAAAAAATAAGGTATGTTTGGTTATCACTTGTGTTTGTTAATTTAAATGAGAGATAGGGAAACCAGTGGTCTCTAAGTCATTTTTTGTTAAGTCTCTAATTGTTTACTGGATGGGCAATTAAAGAAAAGCATCCAGTTTAAAAAAACAAAACTTAGTTCAAGTCTCTCTCTCTCTCTCTCTCTCTCCTTCTCTTTCTCCTGTCTCTGTCTTTCTTCTCTCTCTCTCTCTCTTTCTCTCTCTCTCTCTCTCTCTCCCTCCCTCCCTCTTTCCCCACCCCCTCTGTCTGTCTCTTTCTTCTGTCTCTGTCTTTCTTCTCTCTCTCTCCCTCCCCACCCCCGTTATTATTTTCTGATATAAAAAACCTTGTCAGCCTTTTAAAAGTGAGTTGTAAAAATAGGAAGGCTGCTGCCACAGAGAAGTTCCCTGCACGTGCTGCTTGAATCTTTGGTACCAGTGAACAACACCAATTTAAACCGTCATCTGCTGACCATAGAGGCCAAAAGAACGCAGAAGATACCATTTATTCATATATATGAATATTTTTTCTCACCATTTTCTTTAAGGGACTGGAATAATTTCTCCTGCAGTTCCTCCAACAATAATGTAATGTCATCATCCCCAGAAGATTTTAAATTTTGTTCATAAATGCGCAAATAAACATTATATCTCTGGCTGTTGGTTAGGGTCTCCTTTCTGAAGCTTTTGTGTGGCAACAGCTTTTGCTTACAAACCCACAAAAAAGTTAGACAGATATAAACCTTTCTGTATTTCATGGTTTCTGCCTGTAGTGGACGTACTCCATCCATTAAGCAGTGCCTTCTGATAGGACCTAGGAAGTGGCCTGCTCTATGGTGGCCCCTGTCCTTTGGAACACCAGCCCCCACCCACCCCACCCCCCAAAAAAGATACATTGGAGCGGAGCAAGGACTGGAAATATTGTCAGAAGCACTTTCTGCTGCAACAGTTAGATGCATTTGGAATTGTTCTGTATGTTTATGGTTCACTATGATAAAGTCTGATAATTTGTTTGCTTCTGATTTTTCTTTAAAAATACAGGATCCCATTCCCCCAGAGTTGGTCCTATTGCTGCAACAGTCCCAGGATGCCTTGCTTCAGAAATTATTTCCTGTAGAAGAGACAAACACCAAACCTGACGAAAATCATACAAAGACTCAAGCAAAACCTGCACTTGTCACAGTCGTCTCAAAATTTAAGGTTCGCCCCATTTACAGATTTCAATTTAAGTTGTGCCTCATTTTTTTTATCCCCGTGCTTTCCTCCTACAACAGTGGGCCCCAAAACCTGTATTTGTTAAAGGAGAGGAAGAGGAGGAAGTGAGATTCTCAGAACAGGAGATCACAGGTAAGGGAGGCAGGATGGGATGTTGTACGAATAAAGGACGAATCATTAAACTGTAGGTAGTCCTCACTTACCAACTATTTGTTCAATGACTGTTTGAAATTGTATCAGAACTGAATAAGTCATACAGGGAGTCCTTGACTTATGATCACAATTGAGCCCAACATTTCTGTTGCTAAGTGAGATGGTGGTAAAGTGAGTTTTGCCCCATTTTATGACCTTTCTTGCCATAGTTATTAAGTGAATCACTACAGTTGTTAAGTTAGTAATACAGCTGTTACTCTGGGTTTTGACTTTGACTTTGCTTATCAGAAGACCACAAAAGAGGATTACATGACCCGCAGACACAGAAGCCATCATGAATACGAATCACTTGGCAGATGTCTGAATTTTGATCACATGACCCTGGGGATGCTGCCATGGTCATAAGTGTGAAAAATGGTCACAAGTCATTTTTTTCAATGCCATTGTAATTTCGAACAGTCACCAAAAGAACTGTCATAAGTCAAGGACTACCTGTACTTCTGACTGGTCCTTGAAGTTCTGGTCATCGCAAGACCCTGCAGTCACATGATCACGATTTGGGCACTTGGCAACCAGGATGATGACTGCACCACCCCACAGTCGCGTGATCGCCATTCGCAGCCTTGCCTGCCATCTTCCCATAAGCAAAGACAAAGGGGAAGCCGTCACAAATTATCCCAGTCAGTCCCTTGGCCTCACATAGTGCCCTGCTTCTCCCAGCTTTCCTTTGCTTTCACATCCTGCTCCCTCCAGGCTGCTTATGAGGCGTGATTCCAATGAGTTTAGCAGGCACAGAATGCTGGGAGTGGGAAGGCAAGGTGTGTGTGTGTGTGTGTGTGTGTATTATATATATATAAAACTGGGAGAGAATATATATTTGGGGTGCCTTAGAAAAGAGCCAGGCCAATGGATTGCAATCTTGATCAAGAATGCATTACGCTGCAACGTTTCACTGTAGATCAGTTTTTCTTTTCAAAACCCTCAAGGGCCCGTTTCTCTTGTTGCTCTTGCAGGGTTCCCTCGAGCAGCTGATGGAGATCCTGCACAGTACCACCCCACACTACATCCGGTGCATTAAGCCCAACGCAGACTGCAAGGCGGACCTTTTCAGAAAAGAGGAGGTGACCTGTACACTAATTTTTTTATTTATTTATGTTTTCCCCTCCAGGGACACCTTATAGTTCAACCCTGAGCTACAAATATTCTCTTCTATCAATATCAAATATCTTCTACATTGTGGAGTCCTTTCTTTATATTTCTTCTGTCTTTCAAAGTTAAGGCATAACCCCATTATCCCAATATTTATAAAGGATCTGTTGGTTTTGCTGATACCACCCACCCTTTCCTGGGTTGTGGAGCCCTGGTGGTTCAGTGGTTAGAATGCAGTATTGCGGGCAGATTCTGCTGACTGCCAGGAGTTCAATCCTGACCTGCTGAAGGTCAACTCAGCCTTCCATCCTTCCGAGGTCGGTAAAAAGAGGACCCAGATTGTTGTGGGCAATAAGCAAATAATGCTTACATTGTAAACCATCCAGAGATACTATGCAAAATACTATGAATTAATATATAAATGCTATTGCTGTTGCTATCTTTTCCACACAAAAATACTTGTTTTAGTATATGTCAGGGATAATGTAAGTAGCTGTTTAACTCTTCAGTAACACAGTTTGAAGGGGGCATTAAGGTATTTAACCCAACTCCTCTCTTAGAGCAGGAATCCAAATTAAAGCAGCCCCAACGAACACATCCAGAAAAGGATTTTGCACCAGCCCTGAGTGACTTTCCCACTGCCAGACTACTCTTATTCTCCAGACTTTTTCTCTAACTTTCAAATATAACCTGCCTCCTGGTAATTAAAATCAGCGCTATCGCCTCCTGCGCTCTGGAATGAGATTCACCTTTTTTGTGGGCTTCTTTCAGATATTCATCATATCACTTCTAGGTCAATTTTTTATCAAGATTAAACATATCCAGGACTTTCAGTTTCCTGTTGTAGAATTTAATTTCTATACTGCTTATGATTCTTATTGCCCTCCTCCAACCCTTTTTTCTCTGAAGCTCTCTTGGAGTGTGTTCCCCAGAAGTGGAAACAGTTTTTCGGGAGTGGTGTTCTTCAAAGTTTCTTTCTCTTCCAGGTTCTGCATCAGTTGGAGGCATGCGGCATTGTAGAAACTGTCAACATCAGTGCAGCTGGCTTTCCAGTTAGGTAAAGAGGTTGCACTTCTTTTCTTATTTATGATTTTCCTGGCTTGTATTTTTCCCTGCATTTTTCTCTCATTGTCCTTATAATATTTGGAAATGAGAGAATACATTATTTGTATACCATTTATCTATCATCTCATTCCCAATGAGTTGGGTTGTCGGTGGTGGGAGAGGATTTTCCCCTTTTTTAAAAAAATAAAATAAAATTTCCTGCAAGCCAAACCCCAAACAATAAATGTACAAAATTATTTCCAGGACCTTTCTCTCTTAAGGTATTTATTTGTTATTTGCAGGTTGGGTAATTGGGTGTTATTTTTACACTGGAGGCCTTTTGCTTATATCCAAATTAACTCTAAAATTAATGTGGCTGTCTGGCTAGCATACAGACATAACATACATAAAGTTTTAGTTGCTATTCCTGTCATCCGCTGATAGCATCAAAGCAAGCTATTAGTTTACTACTGATAATTTTGCTAAGTATGTACCATTTTGTACTTCTGCAATTTTTTTGGATTTTTCCAAGCCTGCTGGTCCTATTCACCACATCCTGAACTTTGGAAATAGAACTATTTAAAGCAACTTCTAAGTTTGATTTGGAATCACTCAATTGCACGAAGATACATTCACTGTTAAAATAGGTGGAATACAGCAATAACTATCCCTATACATCTCCCCTAGAGATGGTCCTTCATAAATGCCACCATTTCTCCAAACTGTAACCATTGTTTCTTTTAGGAGGACCTAAAAGGTCCATCATGAATCAGAGCCAGAAGCAAAGGAAGAGGGAGGATAGCTGGAGTGGGTGGGGTGGGGTGGAGGAATGGCCAGATGGGTGGAGAGAAAGAGTAAAAGAGAAAGTTATGCTTCCACAATTCATTTGATTAGTACATCAATTGGACATACATAGTTACAACACACCTTCCCAAAGTGACTTAAAACCCAGACTTGAAGTTTCAGCATCCTACCCTTGAGTCATGTGATCACATTTTGGGTTCTTGGAAACCAGCCCACATTTATGGCTATTTGCAGTGTCAGATGATCATGTGACCATGATTTATATATATTTTTTGCCAGAGCCTGGCATTTACTTCTGGTTTCCTGTAATAAAAGAAGCCCATTGCAGACAATGGATTGGCTTAATAACCACCAGAAAAATGGTTATAAAATCAGGCATGGTCACCTGGTGACCTCTTTAATAACTGTCATGATTTATTACGCTAATTCCAGGTTACAGTGATAGGCTGTTTGTACAGAAGTACACAGAATTGGATTATGCATCAGATCATTTCTTTCCCCTACTGCTTTCCTGGCAGGATTTCATTCAGAAACTTTTTAGAACGTTATGGGCTGCTGAAGAAATTAAAGAAACTGAATCCGAAAGCAACATCCAGCCAAGGAAATGATTTTTCCCCTGATGCAGAGAATGGTAAGCTTAAGGTTGTATCTTCTGGTAATAGCATGGATTATCTCTAAAATTATTTTTTTCATGTTTATTAAGGTTTTATTTTATTATATAAAATACACAAAGAGAAGAAAAAAATAGGAAATGAAGGGAAGGAAAGGCAGCAGGGAAAAGAAGGTGTAAGATACAAAGAGGAAAGAGAAAAAAGTAAGAAAAGGGAGCATTGACTTCCAACTCTTCTAAGCACAGATAAACACACTCCAACCTCAACTTTTGCTTTTACACATTAACATACAACTAGCCATTCCTATAATACCAAGTCTTTCTAATCAACAAAACCAAAGTCAAAGTTTCATTTTTTTTCTTCTTCACAACTATCTCTAAGATTAATTGACTTCATCAGCTTTGGGCATTCAAGGTCTTTAAACCTCTTCCATTTTTTAAATGTTTTGTTCACTTTCTCTATTCTTCATATTTGCTTTTGGATTTTCTGAAATTTGTGAATTTGCAGATTTCAGAAGTCATAGTGTATGAGGAATTGAGTTGTAGGGTTAAGTTTTGTAGAACATTCCTCTTACACATCTGTCACAAGTGAGAAGTCATTTATGTGCAATTTTCTTGGCAAAGCTTTTCAGAAGAGATTGGCCATTGCTCATTCCTAGAGCTGAGAGAGTGACTGACTGAACCAGGGGTGTCAAACTCGATTTCATTGAGGGCCGCATCAGGGTTGTGTTTGATCTCAGGGGGCTGGGGTGGTGATGGTCAGGGGCATGACCAGGGTGGGCATGGCCAGCTCGACATTATTCATTGAGGCTACGTATTTGACTGCAACAGCCTCCTCCATCCCTCAGCCAGCAAAAATGAAGCATGCAGCCTCCCCAGGCCTCCGTTTTCGCAGGTAGAGGGCTGTAGGAGACCGTCATGTCTGAAAACGGAGCCTGGATGGGCCTTGCATGGCTTCCCTGAGCTCCATTTTCGCTGTTTCCAGGGCGGCCCTGCAGGCCAGATCTAAGCACCCTGCAGGCTGGATCTGGCCTATGGGCCTTGAGTTTGACACCCCTGGACTGGACCAAGAATGCCTAAAGAGGACTAAACTCATGTACTCCTGATTTTGAGCCTGGCATCTTAACCACACCACCAAACTGCCTCTCTTAATTGTAAGAATTTAGCTTTTCTTAATTGTATCCCCCATCATTGTATTAAGTGGGTCCAGAAATGCAAACATCTACAGTGCTGTCAGTTTGACTTTCATCCCCAGCTTCAGGAAAACAGCTGTATCTTCTGTTTCCTTATAGCAGCGATCCCCAACTTTTCCTTCTCTGCGGACCGGTGGCAGTGACGGTGGTGGTAGGGATGGTTTTGCACACACACCTGCTGCTTACACAAATGGAGCTTTACGCAGTCACCTGCCACTTGCATGGACTGGTACTGGTCCGCGGACTGGGGATTGGGGACCCCCTGCCTTACAACATCTACTTCCCTCCAGATAATGAACAGTATAATCATCTGGATCTGTAAAGCAGAAACAATGATGAAGAACCAGTGACTTCCCCTATCAGTCCCATTCCTGATCATCTGTAAATTCACCCTTCTAAATTTCAAGGTTCAGAAGAATAGCAAAGGCCCTACTTAGTAGCACATATGGAATACAAGCAGAATGAGTTTCTGGTAAAAAAAAAATCTAACCTCTGGGAAAACGTAGCCAAATATATATGAATTCAGAGATGGTCACTTGAAGAATCACACTTACAAATAACTCAGTGCTCCTTTTTGGTTAGGGAAGTATGTTTTATGTCAGCGTTTCAGAAAAACAAACTCCAACAGCAAAACTCCGAGACAGGCATTTTCTCAAAGTTCCATTTTATTAGAGCTGTCATGCTGGCACATCTGGGAAAACCCGAATCTGAAAGTTCTGGGTTTTCCTACAATAATTAAAAATTACAAATCCATGCCCTGCACCCATCATTTCATCACATGCCCCAAGACATCCCTTCAACCACCAGGTGCAGAAATAACATGACTCTAAAGAATGCTATTATGTCTAACTACATATGCTGCATAAAATCCCCCCTCCCAAATTCCCAAGCTCAAAAATGTGGCAGTGTGGAAGCTTCTGGTGCTAATATGGCTTCCAAAGCTGACATCTTATTTGTCACTATTTTTAGAAAAATAAGCACCTAAATACAGGTAGTCCTCGGTTTACCACAATTCATTTAGCTACCATTCAAGGTTACAACAGCACTGAAAAAAGTGAATTATGACCATTTTTCGCACTTACAACCTTTGCAGCATCCCCACGGTCACACAATCAAAATTCAGATACTTGGCAAGTGGTTCATATTTATGACGGCTGCAGTGTCCCAGGGTTATGCGATCACCTTTTGTGACCTGACAAGCAAAGTCAATGGGGAATCCAGATTCACTTAACAGCCATGTTACTAATTTAATAAATGAATTGATTCACTTAACGATAGTGGCAAGAAAAGTCGTAAAGTGGGGCAAAGTCACTTAACAAATGTTTCACTTAGCAACATAAATGTTGGGTTCAATTGTGGTCCTAACTCGAGGACTACCTGTATACAAATTCGGGAATAATTATTGGTGTTTGGTTTAGTTTTTGATTATTATTTTTGTTGTCGTCGTCAGCTAATCAAATGAGTTGCCCGCTATCTTTCCAACTGCCCTTTTGGTTTTCCTAGTTCTCCTTGGATTCTTCTTCCACTCTTCCCAAAACTTGCTTCTCTCTACGGCAGCCTCTCTCTCTCCAAGCAACACACTTCACCCTCCTCTCCTTGCTTTAGCAGAACAAGGCTGGCTAGTAGAGGTAAGCTGAGATTAGGACTCCCCCGTCATGGGGCCAAACTACATGGGTTGGTGAAGATAAAGATTTCCCCTGTCTCGTCATATCTGACTCTGTAGGGAGCTGCTCATATCCGCTTCTTAGCCAAGGGAGCCAGTGTAGTCCGAAGATGCTTCCGTGGTCATGTGATCAGCATAACTATAGGCCAAGGCAAGCACTGTTATCTTCTCACCAAAGTGGTACCTATTTATCTACTTGCATTTGCATGCTTTCAAACTGTAAATGGGCAGCAACTAGGGCAGGTACACCATCTCATGTAACTGTTGTGTACAGTTACCTCTCATAATTGAGCCTGTAATTGCTCTCGTAAGTCGTGATGGCTGTTAAGCAGTTTATCCTGTGACCACATCTGATTTTATAACTTTTTTTTTTTGCATCTGTCATAAAGTGAATGTGTCAGGTCCATAGCATCGTGTCCTGCCCTTCCGTTGGAAAAGGGGGGAGAGAAGTCTTACTGGCATTTTCTCATGCTTTTGCCTAACTGCTTGGGAATTAAGGGGGAGTGGGACCATCTTCAGAGAAGGAGCTGATCCCCTCCCACCCAATTCCAATTGCCATCAGGACCACCATGCCCTGAGGGTGACTGATTATCTACCTAGCACCTTGGAGTTTCCATAACAACTTTTCACATTGGCTGCTGGTGGACTGGTCAGGGGTTTGGGGTTGGGGAAATGAAAGAATGCTGTGTGCTTTGCGCGGGCTTTTTCAGATTCTGCCTGGCTTTCCCGCAATCACTTTTCTCTTGGTAAAAGTTATTTTGATTCAACCAAACAGATTCAAGAGTCTTACTTTCCTGAGGAACTAGTTGAGGCAGGTCCTTACAAAATGCTATGGTCGTAAAGCGATCACCACAGTCTCTAAGTGAAGCCATTGTTTGCTATGGGTGCTCCTCCCCCAGGAAACTTGGAAGTAAACAATAGTTTATGGAAAAAAAACATTGTGGTCACGTGACCACAGGGTGCTGCAAACAACAGTAAATGCAGACTGGTTGCCAAAATGTGGTTACAGGATAGCAGACTGGGGGAATGGTCACTGTGACTTCAAATCTGGGTCATAACTCCCTTCTTCCATTGTAAGTTCAAGCAGTGGCTAAGCAATCTGTCATAAGTCGAGGACTACCTGTAGATTCTGTAAAGAAGACAGAATCCATAAAGACTGCATCCATTCCATGCAGGAGGGGAAAGATTGTGCATATTTAGATCCCACAGCATCACCTGCTTCGGCATTTCCAAGACATTTTAGTTAGTCCCATTTTACTTAGTACTTTTAAGTTCAAACCCGTGAAGTTTGGCCCACAGTGACTGCTAATATTTTAAAACTTTTTACTGTGTTTTTTTTTTAATTCTCTAACAGGCAAATCAGTGACTACTCCTATAGAAGAAGAATGTGACACTTTGCAGTCTGAGGTCCAAGATATCCTTCGGCAAGTGAAACCCATTCATTCATCTGTCAAACCTAGAGAAACAAAATCACCCAACCTACCCATGTTTTGCGGCAAGACCAAAGTATTTTTGACCAACTCCATGGTAAGAATCATCCAGCAAGTTTTGGAAAGGAAAACAAAATGTTGGCCGGGGGTGGAATCAGGGTGAATTTTTGCCACAATAGGATTCTGTAACATCAAAGATTTCTAGCCCTCATGAGGACACATGAAAAACAAGTCTGGGAGGTGGGGGCAAAGCCCTTTAGTGACATAGATTCAGGCCTTCCCATTCTCCCTCCTCTCCGCTTACCTTGGATGGGGGGGGGGAAACAAAATCATTTTGATTAGCATAAATTGTTTTGTAAACCAGAAAAGAGGAGATGAAGTTTAGCCCTCTGAGCATGTAGTCTTGACTGGGGGTGGGGGGGTGGGGCGGGAATAAAGGTGTATGTGTATAGGAATCTTTTTTTGGCTACACCCAGGTCCAACAAGTGTTTTCTTTTTTACATTTCTTTTCATAGTTGGAGCTTCTCGAATTCCAAAGGGCTTCTCTCTTATCTGAGAAAGCATTCTGCATCCAGTGCTGTTGGAGAAGGTTCAGGAGGAAGAAAATTGCCAGGCAGAGATGGTCTGCAACCATCATCCAGTCAGGTGAGGGGGGAGGCTCCTATACTGAGAGATCTGGAAGAGTTTCTACATGTCTTTTGAAAGGAGAGACATAGCTCAGAGTGAAATTCTACAGGCTCAATCCCAGACATTTCAATTTAAATGGACCAAATTAGGGAAATGTCTCCTTTCTCCCTCTGGAAAGTCTTAAAAACACTGGAGGTTTTTAGGAAGAGGTTGGAGAGCTATTTGCCTGAAATGGCATAGGGTTTCCTGCTTGAACAGAGAGTTGGACTAGAAGACCTCCAAGACCCCTTCCAACTCTGTTATTCTGTTATTTTCTCAAGTTCCAAGAAAGTTAGAAGAGTCATTTGTCCTAGTATAAGAGAGTTGCTATCTGTGTCCCACTAACACGCTGTTTTTCAACCCTGGCAACTTGCAAGTCGTGTGCACTTCAACTCCCAGTCAGCATAACTGACTGGGGAATTCTGGGAGTTGAAGTTCATGAATCTTAAAGTTGCTAAAGTTGAGAAACGCTGCTCTAGTATATTCCCTTAATGCATTTTTCTCTCTCTTCTTTTGGTAGCTGTTCGCCAGTGGCTAGCTAGGAAACATTTCCAGAGGTTACGTAAAGCTGTTAGGATTATAAAACAGACCTGGAAGAAATGGAAGGTAAGAAAAACAAGTTTAACAAGGTAAAAAAAAAAATTCATCCAGGCATTTTCTTCTTTGAAAACTGGGAACAAAATTAGGTGCATGTTGCAGTTCTGGGCAAAAACCTAAGCAAGGTTTTTTTTTGTTTTGTTTTAAAATGTTTTTCTAGAGTTTCTAGTCCTTATGTCTACAAATGCATTAAAACATGTTGGTGAAGAGTCTGAAACAGGTTGGGTAGAAGCATTGACAGAATTGGAGGCTTTCCTCAAAACAATTCAAACAGCATCATACATAATTGTTTTCAGGTATAACAGAGGAATAATCACACTGTAGGTGCTGGATAGACCCCACCTCCACCCCTTTGCATTCTGCTCCCTCCCTCCCCATCTTTTAATTGTAATTTTCTATTTTTATTTGTATCAGAACTATTTAATTTTTTATCACTTTTAATGATGTAAGCCGCTCAGAGTCAGCTTGAGGCAGGATGGGCAGCAAATAAATCTAATCAGTAAAATAATAAAATAAATATCTGTGTGTGACCTCACAACACACAAAAGTGGTGGGGTTTATGTCACGATGGATTGACACCGCTGCTTTCGTCATTTGCCCCCCCACACACACTAAAAGTAGTCCTCGACTTACAACAGTTCATTTACTGACTATTCGAAGTTACAATGGCACTGAAAAAGGGACTTAGGATGGTTACAACCTTTCCAGCATCCCAGTGATCATGTGATCCAAATTCAGATGCTTGGCAACTGGCTCAGCTTTAATGACAGTCGCAGTGTCCCGGGGGGGTCATGTGATCACCTTTTGCGACCTGACAAGCAAAGTCAATGGGGAAGCCAGGTTCACCGAACAACTAGGTTACTAACTTAATAACTACGGTGATTCACTTAATAAATGTGGCATGGAAAGTCGTAAAATGGGGCAAAACTCACATATTTCTCACTTAGCAACATAAATTCTGGGCTCAATTGTGGTCGTAAGTCGAGGACTACCTGTACTGACACTTGGTGGATAAATTGGAGTATTTTTTAACTCTTCCGTAGACCAAGATGGCTGTGATAGCTGCCGAAGAACTGGATGGCATGGAAGAAGATCCCCTTCCCTCTGTCCTTGGGATAGCTGCTCCCTCAGGCCAGGCTACGAGAAAACTGGACAGATCCTGGCCTCTGAATTCCGTCATCCGTTTCTGGCCTCTCAGCCTTGTTCTGTCAAGCACCCCGACAACGCTGGAGGGTCTCCAGAGAAACGTTGCTCTGCTAACTTGCCTCCAAGTCTTACAGAAGATGAACTGGACCAAGGCAGAGACCAGGTTCACTATACAAGGTGTCAACTCCATCCGAGCTCCCCCACAAGTAAGGACTATTGTTACACACACTTCCGCCTTTGACTTAGAATTTTGCTCACTCGCACACTCACGTCCCTGGAAAACAGCCACGCTTAAATAATTTTCAACCAAACACTGGGGCACAACCATTTTTTTCAAATACATGGAGACCCAGTGAATTTTAGAATAGAATACAGTAACAGAGTTGGAAGGGACCTTGGAGGTCTTCTAGTCCGGTGGTCATCAACTGGTGGTCCGTGGCCCACTGGTGGTCCGTGAGAAAATTTGGGTGGTCCACAGAGAAATGTCACCCCCAGAGCACCCCCCAAAGAATTAATCCAGGCTGCACAGAAACACAAGGCTGCGCCACCCACATGGCCTGCAGGAACCCTCCCCACCCACTCACTCCTTACCTGGCAAACTTGCCTGCTAAGTTGCTATTTTTCCTCTTTTTTTCCCAACCATCAGCTGTTCTGCTGTGCCGGGAGTTTTAGATTAGCTAGAAAGCAGGAAGTTATTGCATTTCTTGCTTTCTAGCTAATCTTTAGAACTTTCCTTAGGATTGAAGCTTCTGTTATTCAGTACAGACTCACTGCAAGCAAATTTTATGTGACAGACTCAGGTAGTCGATGGCAGATAGATAATATATCTCTGAATGATTCTGTGAGCAACTCAATCTGCCTGCCTTTGCCTGGTTTTGGGTAAAAATTGCTCTTTATTAAAAAAAAAAATCAATATTTACATCAATATTTATAATATTTACATACAGCCATGCCTAGCCAGTCACATGACCACCATGCCAAACCCACAAATTAGGCCACATCCATGAACTGGTTGTTAAAGAAATTTTAATCCCACTCCTGTCTCTCTGTGTGTATGAGTAAGAGAGAGAAGTTAGATCAAATCTCTCTCTCTGTCTCTCTCCCACCAACATCAGCAAGCCACCGTCAGTCAAAATTCATATTAGCGGTCCCCAGGGGTTAAAATTATGAGTTTGGTGGTCCCTGAGGTCCAAAAGATTGGCGACGTCTGGGCTAACCCAACCCCCTGCCTAGGCAGGAAACCCTACACCACTTCAGACAAATGGTTATCCAACATCTTTTTAAAAACTTCCACTGTTAAAGCATTTACAACTTCTGGAGGCAAGTTGTTCCACTGATTAACTGTTCTCCTTAGTTGTTCCACTGATTAATTTCTCCTTAGTTCTAGGTTGCTTCTTTTCTTGATTAGTTTCCACCCATTGATTCTTGTCCTGCCCTCAGATGCTGTGGAGGATAGGTTGGCTTCCTCTTCTTTGTGGCAGTTCCTGAGAAATTGGAACATTGCCATCATGTGTCACCCCAGTCCTTCTTTTCACTAATATTTAGAATAACTGCTATGTTAGCCATTCCTAGCATCGTACGGGTAGTCCTCGACTTAGGACCACAATGGAGCCCACAATTTTTGTTGCTAAGTGAGAAATTTGTTATGTGAGTTTTGCCTCATTTAATGACTTTTCTTGCCACAGCTGAAGTGAATCACTGCAGTTGTTAAGTTAGTAATATGGTTGTTAAGTGAATCTGGCTTCCCCATTGACTTTCCTTGTCAGAAGGTCGCAAAAGGGGATCACGTGACCCCGGGACACTGCAGCAATGAGTCAGTTGTCAAGCATCCAACTGTAAATCACATGACCATGGGGATGCTGCAGTGGTCATAAAAGTGTGAAAAATGCTCTTAACTCACTTTTTTCTTTGGTGGTATAACTTTGAACGGTCACTAAATGAACTGTTTTAAGCTGAGGACTACCTGTACAGGTAGTCCTCGGTTTACAACAATTGGGACCAGAATTTCCATCGCTAAGCAAGATTGTTCTTGAGTCGTTCTGATTTTATGGCCTTTTTGCCACGGTTAAGTGAAACACTGCCCTTAAGTGAATCATGCAGTTGTTGAGCGAATTCAACTTCCCCCATGACTTTGATTTTCGGAAGCTGGCTGGGAAGGTCGCAGATGATGATCACGTGACCTAGAGATACCTGGTTGCCAAGCACCCAAATTTTGGTCATGTGCCCATGGGGATGATGACAGAGTTGTAAGTCACCTTTTTCAATGTTATAACTTCAGTCGCTAAGCAAATGGTTGTAAGTCGTGGATTACCTGTAGCTGTTTTATCTTATGGAATATGTAGTCTATAATGATATATATGGTGGCTACTGGACTAATTAATTGACCCCACTTCTGTGCTTCCCAGTTCCCCTCTGCCCATATTTTTTAATTCCATATTATTGTACTTCCATTCTTTATTGTTTTATTCCTTTGCTTCTGTTATTGGTTTCTTCATGTTATGGTTGTGAGCCACCCAGAGTAGACCCACGTCAAGATGGGTGGCAAATAAAATTAACCAATAAATATCTCAGTATAAAAAAAATAGATTGCACACTCGCTGTATCACTGGGCATTGCTTGACATATATATGTTAACTGTGCCCCCCAGTTTGTCTTCACTGTAAATAACCGTCCAAGTGGCTTCACATTTGATGCCGTTTTGCAATTACTGTATCTTTTTAATTTGTATAATGCCTTGGTCATCTAGTTATCGCTTTTTTTCCTTCAGGGCTCCATCAAGATCTACTGCAGAAAGTCTCCGTTGCTTTATGCCAACACCAGGCCATACAGCCACATAGTGACCGGGTTCAACCAGATTCTCCTTGATAAATGCACAATACCTTGAGTCTGGAAGGGTCCTTCTGGGCCCTTGATTAGTCCTGTATTTATTGCTCTTCTTAGGATGCTTCCTGGAGGACCGGAGAACTTAAGCACTTCTTCCCCATACAGAGCTTGTCTAAAATACTGTTTTTCAACCTTGGCCCTTTAAGATAGGTGGACCAACTCCCAGAATTCCCTGGCTGGGGAATTCTGGGAGCTGAAGTCCACCCATCTTAAAGGGGCCACAGTTGAGAAGCACTAGTCCAGATGCAGAGGCCCACTCATTCAATCCATCAATTGTATTCCTCCCCACCCCCACTTGGGATGGTTGTATGCATATAACAGAAACAAGCTACCTCCAATGCTTTATTTGGCCTGATAGCAGCCGGTAATCTAGTGTAGTGAAAGGATCCCATCTCCCTGATCGTCTGATCCTTTATTTTCAGAATCAGGAAGCAAATCTTAACAAGTCTTGTGCACGCCTTGAAAATGATTGGGAAGTGCTCAAAGCACCACTTTACTGCTATTCAGTAAAACAGCCTACCTTTTTCCATGTTTCCACACAAGTTTTTAAATAATGATACCGGTACTTCAAGGAATCCAGTGGCTTTATGTAGAACTTTAAAGCAACAGCATTTTTATGTTATGTTTCTATAGAATCCTCAATCTTAAAAGACTTAATGAATTGCAAAGAGGTGCTATTTTTAGATCAGTATAGGCACAAAATTGTTCTTCCAAATCATTTTTGAAGCATGTAACAGCTCTAAATCTTATTAAAACCAGGAGCCAGTAGAATTTCAATCCTGCTAGTTTTGAGGGTGCTATATTTTTTTAAAAAAATGTCTATATAGCAATGTTTATTTCAAAAGGGCGCTGTAGGTTTGATATACCACAGGATAGAAATCTTCAGGAGTTTTTTAATGGCCACACCATTAAATCACGAAAGACACTATTTTAATGTAGTGAGAACTTTATATATTTTTTTTAAATCTACTGCACTTGTCAGTGTCTCCATGTAATGAGGAAAAAGCCGGATGCTTGGGCATTTTTTTAATAAAAAACCTGAAGAGTTATTTTAAAAATTCTTCTGAGATGCAGCTGTTTTGTTCAAAATATTTCTTAAAATGTCAGAAAAAAGAATAAATTATTAAAAGGCAGAGGTCAAAGTAATAGTCTCCGATCATTCTTCCTAACTGCTGGGTTGCGTTATATTCTGTACAAATTAAGAGGTAATAAACTTGAGATGATTATAAATATGGCTGGTTTTGATATTTTTACTGCATCAGTTTTATACTCCAGAAGTAAAATTTTAACTTTTCTTCCTTTCCCACAATATAAAATCAGACCAGAGTGCAAAAAGGAGGTTAGACTTTATTAAACGATTTATTTTAAAAATAAAAGCATCTTTCTCCCTTTCAAAACCAGAGGAATTGCCACTCTTGAAACTGGCAAAAATTTGGTAGTTCAAAAAAAAAAAAAATTCAGCTTGTGAAAATCACCCCTATGCTTGGATCAACTGTTCTTGGGAGCAGCGTGGCTCATTCTGTCCAAGAGATTCCAACGCAGAACTGGCAGTGAATAAGACAAAGCATCTCCGGATTTGCTAGCCATTTTCCAGGGCTGGAGAAACCTCTACTTGACTCCCTAGACATTCATTCTGGAATTTCGTTCTCCTCCACCTCCGGCTCGACAGTCCTCAGGCAACAATCTGCAAACTCCACAAAGACGGGCTCCTGCATGTATCTTCTCATGAGAGCGCTCTTGTTGTCGGCTTGGTCAATGGTCAGCAGCAGCGTGTGGAGGTGAGGATTCGAAAGGATGGCTCGGAGCTCTTCCGATTCCCCTGTTTTAAGAAAAGAGAGGGAAAGGAAGAAGGATGAGCTGAGAATTTCAGATATTGAAAGGTTCTTGGCATCTAAGATGTCTGAGGATCAGGGACAAGTCAAATGCAGGTAGTCCTCGACTTACGACCCAAATTGAACCCAAATTTTCTGTTCCTAAGTGAGACAATTGTTAAGTGAATTTTGCTTGGCAACTGACTCATGTTTATGACAGTTGCAGTATCCCAAGGTCATGCAATCAATTTTTGCAACATTCAGTTAAGCAAAGTGAATGGAAAAGCCAGATTCACTTAACAACCACGTTACTAAATAACTGCAGTGATTCACTTAATAACTCTAACCAGAAAGTCGTAAAATGGGGGCAAAACTCCCTTCACAACTGCCTTGCTTAGAAGCAACAGAAGTTTTGGGTTCAATTGTGGTCATAAGTCAAGGACTTCCGACTGCTTATTTTTTTAATTAGTTCCCTCAGTGGCAAGGAGATCATCAGGATTTCATTAGTAATCTCATTCAAACAAACATTTGCAGGAGATTGAAATAGGAAAGTTTCCTCAACTGCAGGAAACCGATGATTATTTCATGCCGAAAACTTACTCAACAGCTGAAGTTTCTGGAGAGGCACCCTATCGTCTTCATCATCTTCGGTCAAAATGTCATCCACAGACCAAGGGCTGCCTAAAAAGCCGAAAGGAGACAACTCCCATCACTAAAGAAATCCAGGAAAGCAGCATCTGCACAGATCTTACCATTGTGCCAAAGGCCTTTGTCTGGAATGGTGTAGGGCAGGGGTCCCCGACGCCCCGTCCGTGGCCGGCCCCGGCCCACGGCATCCCAGCAAACAAGTGAGGCGCCGACCACAGGATGCAGGCAGCATGCAAAACCCGGCCTTCTGGTCAACAGAAAAACCTTTCTTCACAGAACCAGTCCCCGGTGCCCAAAAGGTTGGGGGCTGCTGGTGTGTAGGGTCTTCCGCTTAAGCAGGGAGCTGGACTAGAAGACCTCCCAAGGTCCCTTCCCACCCTATTATACTATAAGGGAGAAGGTTCGTTCTCCGAGCTTCACCCTCATCCTACACCCGAGCTGCAGATATTCGCCACTATTGCTATTTTTCTATGTCAGGAGTGTCAAACTCAATTTCATTGAGGGCCACTTGTATCTGACCTCTGGGGAAGGCTGGGGGTGTGTGTGTGTGTAGTCCTGGTGGGTGTGACATGGGACTCATGTCAGGGGAGGCACCCGTGGTGGCCAAGTTCTAAGGCAGGACTTTGATGAGATCCTCCCTCCCTCTCATTATAATCTATCTCCCTTCCTTCCTTCCCTCCTTTTAATTTCTTCTTCCTTCCCTCCCTCTTTCCTTCTTTTTCCTCCCTTGCTCTCTTCCCATCTTTTCTTCTTTTTGGCCTTTCGTCTTTTCCTTTCTCCTTTCCTGCCTCTTCTTGCACGCTACTACTACGTAGTATATAAAGGAGCAAAAACCATTCAGCCATTCCCCATTGCACTCTCTCTCCAAATCAGCGTTTCCCAACTTTCGAAACTTCAAGGCAAGAGGCACTTCCGCTCCCAGAGTTCCCCCCCGCCAGCCATCTTGAAAGTTGACAAGTCTTGAGAAACATTTTGCTGCACATGTTTCATACAGGAAAGAAAATCCATTTTTCCTTCCACGTCACAACTAAAACAACACCTACCTTCAGCCCTCCAGGATTTCTCTCTCTGAACGGGGCAGGAAGGACCTGAATCTGCAGGCCGTGTGGCTGGATCCACTCTGGATGTGCACTCTTCTATTAAAATGCCAAACACATTTTTTTTTAAGGTTATCGTGTTGATTTGGAATTACAGATCACGCCCACCCTGCTTTTCATCTCTTCAGGCAGTCGCTGCAAAGCTTACAAACTTTACTCCAGATCTGCGTTTGGCTGCAGATAGTCCTCGACTTATGACCAGAATTGAACCCAGAATTGCAGCTGTTAAGCGGATCACCATGTGACTGCCCAATTGTATGGCTTTTTCTCTGCAGAGGTTGTTCAGCAAGTGACATGGTCATCAATGAACCACAGGGATCAACAAACAAATCCATTTTATCCAGTGAGTGTCTTTTGCCACAAAACAGAATGTCGGAAACCAGCAAAAGCCACCACAAATTGCAGTAATGTGACTGGATCCTGCAAAAGGCCATAAACACAAGCCAGTTGCCAAAGGCTCATTGCAATCACACATGACCACGTTGCGTTTGTGTGAGTGTGTGCGCATATAGCTGTCAGAACCCCAGAAGGGTGTCATAAGGACTTTGGGGGAGTCTGTTATAATTTGAAATGGTTTCTTAGCAGCTGTTCAAAGTTGCAATGGACTTCCCCAGATCATCTTTTAACGACCACATAATCCCTTGTGGAATGGAGTCTGGGCAACTGACTGGAGCTGAGTATTTACTGGCCGGATGCCCTTCTTGTCACCAATGAGGAGTTTGTTTGTTTTTCCCCAGCAGATATATATTCTCATTGTGCCCAGACAGAGAAATACCTGCCTCTACCTAGGATTGAACTCACAACCTCCTGATTGTGAGGTGAGAACTCCACCTCTAGGCCACCACACCGCAATGGATTTCCCCAGATGAAAACCAGAAAAAAAAACCAGTATAGAATTTGACCCGAAGGGAAACGATACAAACGGAAAGCCAAAACCGATGCTTCTCGAATTTATAGGACTTCAAATCCCATACACCCCATCCAATATGGACTTTGGGAAGGCTGAGACACAGAATTGCAATTTGAATTAATTGAATAGGGATACAGATGGGGAAAAAAAGGGGGATTTACCTTTGTGCTTCTTGTAACAAGGCACCGAACAACTGAAACGACAAGAGAATTATCCATCAGGTCAGGAGTTTTAACAGCAAAAGAAATAGAAAAGAAAAATGTGGATTGATCCCAAGGTTCTGTGTATCAACCTAGCTCGGGATCCAGTGGGAGGAATGCACTCTGCACATGGATAAAGGTCTCCTTGTTGCTCCTTCAGACATTACAAGGCTGAATGCCAACAGAGAAAATAAATACCCACCAGTTAAGGTGAAAAGGTAATTAGATTCCAGAGCCTGAGATACACACAACTCACTTAATTTACCCATTTTTTTCAAGATTCATATTATACACCAAAGTATCCACCAGGCCAAAGAGCTGGAATTACACAGCACAGTATTTAAAAATAAAATAAATAAAATAAAATAAAATAGAGCGCAGCTAAGCAAAACTCTAACCAAGATTGCCACATTCTGGAAATGCATTTGCTAAATCAAAGTTTCTCACACTTGGGAACTTTTAAGACGCGTGGACTTTAGGCTGGGGAATTCTGGGAGTTGAACTCCACAGTTCTTAAAAGTTCCTAAGCGTGAGAAACACTATGTTAGATCTCTCCCAAACCTTTGTGTGAACAGAGTTTGTAGGTTCCAACCTGAACCAACCCACAAATTCTCCTGAAACATCCCAATGGGCCATTCCTGAGACGGTGAAACCATTTCTAGATTTCTATAAACCAGCAATTCTCACTTAGAAGAGACTGATCCTAAGTAATCTCCTATTGCATTACAACCTGGGCGAAAGAGAGAGGCAGGGGAGACCTTCTGCTCTGCCAGTAATCCCCAAATCCCCCACGACCTACTCCTCCCACCCTTCCAAGGGATTCCCCCAAGTATCTATAATAGGATATTATAAATAGAAGCAAATAGGAGGATAATAATGTGTTAAATATGTTCAAAGAAATATTAGGTAGGTAGGTAGATGGATGGATGGATGGATGGATGATTGATGGGTGGATGGGATAAATAATTGATAGGTAGAAGATATATAGATTAGATTATTGATTAATGATTGATATTGATAGACAGATAGCTAAATATAGATGCATGGATGATAGAGATAGATAGATAGATCGATAGATAGATAGATCGATAGATAGATACCCTGTTTCTCCAACAATACGGCCTCCCCCAATAGAAAGTCCCAACATGTTTTATAGGCATGAAATGAAATTAAGCCCCTCCCCCCAAATTAAGGCCTATATTAAAACATGCAAAATGGGGGGGGGGAATGGTGGGGGGGCTTGTCGTTAGGAAGTACTTTTGTTGCACACCCGGATATGGTGCTGCCTGCGTTGACCCCGATACAAAGCGCCCCACCAACGCTGAGGTCAACACCCAAGCTGTCGCCGCCTGCCCACCCAAAGATGCAAGTGGGGGGTGAATTAAGTCACCCCCAGAAAGACAGCCTAGCCATTTTTTCGGGGCTCAAAAAAAAAAAAAGAACCGGCCTTATTATATGAGAAACACAGTAGATGATAGATGGATGGATGGATGGATGGACGGACGGACGGAAGGAATAGATGATTGATAGATAGGCAGAAGATATAGATCTAGATTAGATGATTGATAGATGATTGATATAAATAGATCAGATAGATAGATGATAGATATAGATAGATGGATGGATGATACGACTGACTGATTGACAGAAAGATAGATCAGATAGGATAGATGATAGATAGATAGATAGATAGATAGATAGATAGATAGATAGATAGATAGATAGATAGATAGACAGACAGACAGACAGACAGATATTTTTTGTGTGAGAGAAAGGGGGGAAACCACTTTATTTGAAGCAATGCTTCCCAATTTTGGTAACTTTTAAGATGGATGGACTTCAATTCCCAGAATTCCCCAGCCAGCCATGATATGAGAGAGAGACGGAGACACGTATTTATATACATCAAAATAAAACAAATCGCCCCCTGTGCTTGCAAAGCATCTTCAAGCCTCCTCAGTGCGGACCCCCCCACCCCCTCCAATGAGAGATCCTCCAAGCGCCTTCCTCCCCCTCGCCCTCCCCCATTGCAAACGCCAGAGCCCGGGAAGCCCCTTCCCCTCGCGAAAGCGGCCTCTGAGCATAAGCAAAGAGCGCGCCCTGGTAGGTACTCACTATCTCTCCCGACAGCCCGGACATCGGTACTTCGCGGCCTGGCGCCCCTCGCGTCCGCAGACCACGCATCGCCCCTCGGCAGGCGTCCCCGGCATGGCCACCTCAAGCCCGGCTCTCCGGCGCCTCTTCCGGCCCGCCTGCCCGATCCGCCTCCCGGGCGGGGCTTGGCTCTAGACCCGGCAGCTGCTCCGCCCGCAAAGCTGCTTCTCGAGCCGGATCGCGCTCAGCTTGTGAGTTGGAAGGGACCCTGGAGGTCATCTAGTCCAACCCCTCCCCCCTCTACGCCCAAGCAGGAGAACCCTACCCTTAAGGCTGACGAAAGGCGAGGACTCGGAGTTCCCCGAGTTGCGATTTCGGAAGGCTTCAGCGACCGCCTGTACGATACGATGCCTGCATGATACGTGATTCCCAGGCGTGGTATGAATGCGTGATTCCCAAGAGTGGGTGGAAGAAAACCCCTTTGGGGGCTGAAGCTTGCTCTTGTAGACAGGGAGTCCTCGACTTACAACCGTTCATGGAGTGCCCATTCGAAGTTATAACGGTACTGAAAAAAAGGGACTTTTGACTATTTCCCACACTTATGACCTTTGCAACATCCCCCTGATCCTGTGGTCAAAATTCAGATGCTTGGCAACTGGTTCATATTTATGACCTGTTGCTGTGTCCCAAGCAGGACAAGAAAACAATGGATATGGAAACTCACCAAGGAGAGAAACAACCTGGAATTAAGGAGAAACTTCCTATCAGCGAGGACAATTAACCAGTGGAACAGCTTGCCACCAAAAATTGCAGGGGTTTCATCACCGGAGGTTTTTCAGAAGAATCTACAGACAGTCGCTTATCTGAAATTATATAGGGTCTCCTGCTTGAGCAAGGGGGCTGGACTAGAAGACCTCCCAAGGTCCCTTCCAGCTCATTCATTCTATTCTAAAGTCAATGTGGGAAGCCAGATTTGCTTAATGACTGCATGATTCACTTAACAACTGCAGTGATTTGCTTAACACTCTGCTAAACAAATAATTCCCTCAACACTGTCCAACTATTTACGAAGTCTGCACTACTATTGCTATTAATCTTCTCATCACTTCTTATCACCTTTCCCCTCCCACTTGTGACTGTAGGACTGTAACTTTGTCACTTGTATCCTTACGATTTATATGGCCTGTTTCCTAGTATGATTTGATTGCTTATTGTACCCTGTGACTGTCATTAAGTGTCGTACCTGATGATTCTTGACTCTTGACGAAGGTCTCTTTTCTTTAGTTTAGTTTAGTTTACTTTATTGTCACTGCACTTCGTACAACAAAATCAAACACCATCTTCAGTGCACATCATGGCTATGAAAATAAACAACTCACACATCCTTCACATTCCACACATTGAATTGAAAAGCCCCAACACCACACCAACACTGCACTATACAGTAGACCTCAACAGAGCTAGTTGCCTTGGGATAGAAGCTGTTTTTCAGCTACACTTTTATGTATACTGAGAGCATTTGCACCAAGACAAATTCCTTGTGTCCAATCACACTTGGCCAATAAAGAATTCTGTTCTGTTCTGTTCTATTCTACTCTACTCTACTCTACTCTACTCTACTCTACTCTACTCTACTCTACTCTATTCTATTCTATTCTATTCTATTCTATTCTATTCTATTCTATTCTTAACTGTGTCAAGAAAGGGCGTAAAAGGAGGCAAAACTCACTGAACTATCTCACTTAGCAACAGAATTCCGGGGTTAATTTGTGGTCATAAGTCAAGATATTATAGTAAGTAATGACAACTCTCCACCACCAGGTGGCGATAATCACTTTCAGTACAGTAGTCATAGCAAATTCATTACATGGAGTGCTTGCTCCTTACAATTGGGGTCAGAATTTCTGTTGCTAAGTAAGGCAGTTGTTAAGTGCGTTGGGCTGCATTGACTACCTTTCTTGCCATGGTTGTTTAGGGAATCACTGCAGTTCCTAAGTGAATCACACTTTTGTTAAATGAATCTAGCTTCCCCCATTGACTTTGCTTGCTGGAAGCCAGAACAAGGCAACTGTCATAAGTACATGCCAGTTTCCAAGCCTCTGAATCTTGGTCATGTAACGGTGCGGACACCGCAAGGGTCACAAGTGTGAAGAGTGGTGCTAAGTCACTTTTTTCGTTGCCATTGTGAGTCTGAATGGTTGCTAAATGAATTGTTGTAAGTTGACAGCTGTCTGTATCGCTGCTCCATTCCAAAGGGCTCTGTGGGGGTTACAACAGGGTTTCTCTCAACCTCAACCATTTTAAGATGAGTGGATTTCATCTCCCAGAATTCAATGCTGGCTGGGGAATTCTGGGGATTGAAGTCCATCCTACTGAACATGGCCAAGGTACAGAAATACTCACTTCCAACACCCGATCTGCAATTAAAAACAACAAAAGCATAACCACAAAGCATAGCAGGTCGAACAAAACAGCCTAAAAGTGTTTTTAAAAATGACAGGGACTCCCCTGATACTCAACCCCCAAGTCTTGTGTCTCTTCGGACAAGGTAGCCAGAAGTTATTCTATGAGGTTCAGGCATTATACGTCTTACACTTAGGCAAGAAAAACCAAAAGTACACATATAGACTGGGAGAAACCAGGCTCAGTAGCAGTAACTGGGAGAGGGATCTTGGAATCTTAGTGGACAATCAGCTAAATAGGAGCCAGCAGTGTTCAGCAGCAGCCAAAAAAGCTAATGCAATCCTAAATTGCAGTAACAGAGGGATACAATCGAGATCAAGTGAGGTACTAATACCACTCTATAAAGCCTTGGTAAGACCACACCTAGAATACTGCATCTAGTTTTGGTCACCACATTATAAAAAAGATGTTGAAACTCTGGAAAGAGTGCGGAGAAGAGGAACCAAGATGACTTGGAGGCGAAAACATATGATGAATGGTTGCAGGAACTGGGCACGGCTAGTCTAGTGAAGAGAAGGACCAGGGGAGACAGGATAGCAGCATTCCAATATTTGAGCAGCTGCTACAGAGAGGAAGGGGTCAAGCTATTTTCCAATGCAGATGAAGAACAATGGATGGAAATTGAACAAGGAGAGATTCAACCTGGAAAGAAGGAGAAACTTTCTGACAGGAAGAACAATCAACCAATGGAACAGAAGTTGCCTTTGGAAGTCATGGGAGCTTCATCACTGGAGGTTTTTAAGAAGAGACTGGACTGCCATCGATCAAAAAATGGGGTAGGCAATAAAGGAGAATTTTAGGAGGATGAGAAGGGCATAAATGCAAAAAAAAAAAAATACACTGGAGTGGGTTTGTTTTTTAGTTTGATCTGTTCTTAGTGACCTGTAACAAATAGATAGAGTTATAATAGACTTATAACCATATGGCACTGAAAAAGTGATCTACAGCCATTCCTTATACTTACGACCATCACAGCATCCCCAACCTGACCAAAATTTGGGTTCTTAGCAACCAGCATGTATTTACGATGGTTGTGTGATTGCCATTTGCAACCTTCCTAAGCAAAGTCAATGGGGGATATATATATGTGTGTGTGTTTTCTTAAGTTTTCGCAGGTACTTACATGTATGGTATTCAGCTTTGTTCGGGTATTTCCCCACGTCATTGTAGTTGTGCTTTTAAAGTTGTAGTAACGTTTTGGCAGAATCTCACCTGCCATCATCAGGTTTCTGTATTGTGTTCGTCTGTGAGTCAGACTTTTACAGTGGTTTCAGATTTAAATAGGCTGCCCCAAATTTAAATCTGAAACCACTGTAAAAGTCTGACTCACAGACGAACACAATACAGAAGCCTGATGATGGCAGATGAGATTCTGCCGAAACGTTGCTACAACTTTAAAAGCACAACTACAATGACGTGGGAAAATACCGGAACAAAGCTGAATGCCGTACATATATATATATATATTTCCACATGTGGTGGCAATGTATAGAAGTTAAAAAATACTGGAAGAAGGTACTGAGATGGCTTTTGAGATTACAAATCATAGATTGAAACTGGAACCAGAAATATTTTTATTAGGTATGATTAAAAGGAATTTGAGCAAGGATAAAAGATGCATCATTGTACACATCTTAACGGCAGCAAGAATCCCCTTTGCACAAAGTTGGAAGAGCGATAAAATACCACCAGATGAAGCTTTAATTCAAGAAATAATGGATTGTGCAGAGTTAGACAAATTCACTATGGAATTAAGAGGCAAGGATGATTTAGGATATTACGTGAGATGGGATAGATGGTACGAATGGGTGGAGAATAAAGATAAAAATAATGTATAGTCACAGAACAAGAAATATGTATATACCATGACACAAATACTGTTAATGAAATTGAGAGTTTTGTATTTTTGGTTTTTAAAGAATAAAAATTTATTTTTTTAAAAAAAAGAGAGAGAGAGAAATATGCACCTCTGTATGGTTTGCCAATTGCACAGTGGCAGATAAGACAACCCTCCAGAGGGTTAACATTATTGCCCAGAGGATCCTGGGTTGCCCTCTCCCCTCTTTGGAAGAGCTTTATCGCTCCCGCTGCCTTAAGAAAGTTCAAAACATTCTCAAAAATCAATCTCATCCTGGGCATCCTTTTTTTGAACTATTACCATCCGGCAGACGGTACAGGATAATAAAAACAAGGACAAATAGGCTGAAAAACAGTTTCTATCCCAGGGCAGTAGCTCTTTTGAATTCTACTGTATAGTGTAATATTAATGCAATATCAGGAGTTTTCAGTTCAATGTATAGAACGTGAAGGATGTGTGTTTTTGTGTTTGTTTTCATAGTCATAAATTGTACACTGAAGATGGTATTTAATTTTGTTGTACGAGGTGCGGTGACAATAAAGTAAACTAAATTACACGACTTATTTGTTTAATATGAAATCTACTAAGGAAACAATAAGATTTGAATTTTATTTTGGCTACATTCCTATATTAATAGATGCACAATAGGAAAAGTAAGCAATTCTAACCGTGCCCAAGTTATGTTTGTTATCAACAATGCACAATGTTAAATCTCATTACATCTTAAAAGTGAAGATGGCTTTTGTTTCTAAGCAACACTTGAGTTAAAAGATAAAGTTTAAATGAAAACATAAAATTAATCTCGAGTTAATAATCATGCAGGATGA